ACTGCTAATTAGTTTTTATTTAATTAGGTTTTTGCTTTCAGTTCAGTTTAGTTTCAGAGATTTCTTACACCTAGTTTGAGTTTTTTTAATTAACCACAATAACATTGCTGTTTAGGCCTGTGACAAGAGCTGTGTGCTGACTCCGTGTGACACCTACACAGTAGGGAAAGGAGCAACATTTGGAGGTACCTGGAAAAACTAGTAGTGAGCCTTGAACACAGACTGTAAAGAAAAGATGGGAGCAGCCACTTTGCCGTCACTCGTTTGTGGACTACTGTTTTAAAGCTTCAGATATAGTATTTTGGTCATCACATCTTGTTTAATTTTTCATATTTGGATGATAAAGTGGAATGCCAAATTAGCAGTGTAGGCTAGCTAGCTTGGTTAGCTAGGGTTATCTACAGAGGTACAGGGCTAAATGGAGCTTAACTGCTTCTTGACAAAAAAAATATAAAATTTTATTTCAAAAATAAAATACCAATGATATTTCCAAATTAAAATAAAACATTTATGCTATTTATTTTTTCTTATAGGGAAACCTATAACAAGTTAGCATTTTGCTAATAAATGTCTTCATTGGCTTCACTTCTTAGCCCTGAAAGCTGCCGCTTGATCTCAACTTCTTTTGGACGCTCCAACAACTCTTACACTTTATCCACAGGAGCTATTTGCTCGTTGCAGTTTGCTTGACTGGGGCTCAGCAGTTGACTTCACAGCAACTTCCAGCACCAACTCGCAACCAGTCTGGGAATACTAATGTTTCCCTAGCAACCAGTGGTTGCCAGGCAGTCACCAACCAGTCCCTAGCCCTTTGTGACTGTGGCCTAGCAGGCACACTGATTGTGTGAGATGTGCAGAGAAGATGCACTTTGCCCCTGCCTACACTGCTACAGTCACAGCCCCTGAATGACAAGGGCATTTTTATCTGACAAAAAGGATATAACAAGAAAATGATTACAGGTGCATTATGGGTATTGGAGGCTACCTCAGTCGCTACTGCATCAGTTTCTACTGCATCACTTATTTTTTGTTCTTGTTGATCATGCGATACTAAGTTGCTTTATTGCAGCTTTAATGAGTATTGATTTGCAATTTTATACATAAATGTAGCAGGATGAGTTTAAAAAATGACCAGAGGCAGCCATCCTGACAATATGCTTACAGGACTCAGCGACACATGGCACAACGGTGGAATGATGCAGACCCAGATCGAATGGATTTATGCATTTCAGTCATCCGAGCAGCGTGCTGGCTCTCACTTCATGCTGATTATATCACAGGCGATCTGCTCACTTGTCACATGCTTTTTGTCAAAGAGCTTTAGACCGAATCACCTTATGTAACAAAAACACACTACTCTGCTCATCTGCTTAATCTGACCCTGAGTGGATAATGCTTCTTTTTTGGGGGGGTAGAGACACACAGTTTTCTAGCTCCAATCTTCCAACAAGCACTCTGCTTCCCAATCCGTCTTGGGTGAGGATCTGGCCTCAACCAGCGATGATGTGTGTCCTTGTGTATCTTTTATTATGACAAATGCTCCTGCCTGCCCTTCTGTCCTTGGTATTACCAAGTTACCCCAACCACTCTCCTTATCCCTCCTAACAATGTTATATTGTTAACATGTCAATACTGCTGCTCAGTGAGTGATTCTCCTATTATGCTGGAGCATAACAACAGGAAACACCGATGGCGGGTGTTTTGAGTGGAAGCCACATGACACACTTAAAGCCCCCTCGATCCTCCTCGTTGAGCGAGTTGTCAGGGCTTTTTTCCAACCCACCACCCGTAACAAAGAACCGCCCTAAATTTATCACGCTAGACAAACCCCTTTAAGTTAATTACACCACACTAAGGACAACAACGTTGATGCGCGCTGACACAAAAACACTCAGGGTGGATAGGGCTGAGCGACCGGGAAGCCCCGGGGGGCAGATGCTGTCTCAGCCAGAGCATCTCTGCGAGAGTACTGCAGCACTCAGTGGGGCAAAGAGCAGAGAGGGGTGAAAAGGAGAGGGCAAGCCTGCTTACAAAAGGGTAAAGAAAGCCCTGCTCAAAGAAGTGCAAAGGTTCTGCTGTTCGGGATATGCACACTAGGGCCACAGTTTGCTCACAAACAGCCTGATGGCAGCTGATGATCGAGCCTAACAGAGCCAACCAGTACGGATGAGGCTTGTGAGGAGGAGGAAATAAAGCTCTCCTAACAAAAGAAGATGAATCTTCATTAAACCTAGCCTCCTTTTTTAAGGCAACTTTTATCGCAAAAGATAAGTAAGGCTGTTGAAAAGTCCTCTGGGTTATGGAAACGTTTTAGGACGGATTTAGTGTATCAGGCACAGAATGTTGAGACTTTATTTGAGTGATTACAGGTGCATTTTACACATCACTGACTAATTCGGGATCTGGGCCACCAAGGGCAGACAGACATGTTTCAGAGAGGGATTAGAGCGGGCTTTGGATGTGTATCATCTTCATGCACCAGACTCATTTTAAGTGTCAGATCACATCCACATTTGTGTATTAGAGACCTACCTAGATCTCCTTGAATGCTGTTGTCATGAGAGGTCCTGCTGGACGTGGTGGAGTCTCCATCACTGGGCCAGATGTGGCTCGCCTTGCGGAGTCCAGTGATGCAGGTGTCAGAAATCATTCCCTGCTGCTTCAGGCGAATCTGAGACAGAGGTGTGGGCGGGCTGCTGCTGTCGAAGGACTGCTGGGAGGGTGAACGGCTTTTCTCCCTGTACATCTGATAGGTGGTGGGGCTGGGAGACACCTGGCTGGACTGGCTTGAGGAGAAGTCCTCTTCGCTGGAGGTCAGGTTCTCGTTGGAGCTGCAGTCCGGCGTGTAGCCTCCTCCCACGTCGTCGAAGCTCCCTGGAGAGTAGGAGCGCCTCGGCCAGGTGAGGTGCGTGTCCTCATCTGTGCCGTGGTCCCTGATGTGGATGACTCGCATATCCCCATCACCCATCATCCCCCCAACGTACACGCTGGTGTAAGCGTGGCACTCCACCGGCTGCTGCTCAGATTTCCCCATAGAGTAGCGCCCCTCGCCTTCTTTTAGGGGGTGTGGGCTGACCTCGGAGTCTTCATATGACCCGTTGTAGCTGCAGTTCCCCTCGGTGGATCTGCCTCTCTGAACGGCCTTGCTGATATCCCCCGTGGCGGCTGACAGGTTCCCTGGGAGTGAATGCAGGGACCTCTTTCGCTCCATCTGCATGGCTTGACAGCCCAGGTTGCTGATCTTGTCTGAAACCTCCCTGTCGTTGACTCTGACCAGCCCTCGCTCTTGATGATACTCCATGTTTGCGTAGAAGGGTTTCTCTTGGCCTCCTGTCACTGACAGCCCCTTGCAATCTCCCGCTGTGTGGGAGTTTGCCCTCCTGATGCGCTCAAAGTTGGATCTAAGAGCTGCCACCGAGCCCGGACCCACTGGGAAATCAGGAAGCTCAGAGTCTTGGCGGACAGGTGACACCCCACCCTTCTGTTTGCTGTCAGGGGCACAATCCATCTCAATGTCTGCATGAGGTTTGCACTTGACTGTCTTACCAGGCCCCCTGTACTTGTGCTGCTGCTCCTCTGCTCCTGCCTCATCTATGCTGGACCTCTGGCTGTCTTCATCATTTGTCTCTGCCATCCTTTTAAACCCCCATCTCTTCCCATCGTAAGACTTCCTCTCCTTTGCGAGCAGAGTCTGCAGGTAGATCATGCGAAAGCGCTCCTTGTTTACTTCCTTCTCCAGGTGTTTGATGGATGACTTGCATTTGTCCAACTCCTGCTCAATGTTCCCCAGTGAGTTGAGCTCCATGCTAGGGGGATCAGACTCAGGGAACTGCGCTCTCCATGCTTCCACAAACCCAGCTGGCTCAACCATTATTACTCTGACACAAACTGTTCAATAAGCTACCAGCAGAAGCATTTCCAAAGCTCAACTTGACTCTTTCCAACAGCTTCCATCGTGCTACGAGTTCAAGGTGTTTCTCAGAGTAATCCACTTAAAAGGGAAATAAAACATACTTTACAGTCTTTACTCACAATCATAAGAATCAAATCCGCTTTACTCCGTTTAACAAAGTCCAACAAAATGCGAGGTTATCCTTTTCTCCAACTTGATCTCCTTCTTGCGCTGTTCTCTGGAGATCGTCTGCCTTCCTCTGTGCTTGGTGTCAGACTGAGTCCTGCAGCTCTCTGGTGTTTTGCCTCTGTCAGTCGCAGCTGAGAGAGGCGGGGCTAAGTCAGAGATGTGATTTAAACCGCAAACACATCAAAATGAACACTGCTGGTTTTCTGAACTGCTTCTTCTTAACCCCAAACTGTCTCCAGGTACAGACGGTTACAGCTGAAAAATAGGAATCCACCAGGAAATGAAAACTAGCATGACAGCACAGCTATTGCGATATATGTGGTCTTATAAAAGGAGACAAACTGACACTTTCAAAGTAAGAAACCCTGCCTGTCCCACATGGTGAGGATTTTGTGATGTTGTGTGTGCAGAATCTCAGATAGATGAAGAAAAAACGAGGTTCACAAAACTTTGTTGTAAGCGCAAATACAGCCTGACCTCTTTTTGAGAAACACACTAATCTTTCCTTCTTTCCCACCCAGCTCCTGGCGTGATATTTTGCAACACCGCACACTTGTCCTTTCAGTTACGTTCTGAAAACTAGGGCTAATCCGACCAAAGTTCAGCGTGTAGAGAACTGAAATACAGTTAACATGTGAAAATGTCGCCTCCTGGCGGTGCAAAAATGTTTGAGTTGGTGCGTTCAAGTACACACCGGACAGATTATTCAAATTTTAGGACTGCCTAAACATTGTGTTGCAGTTACGGTTATTCTGTCCGTACCACACTTTCTATTCTCACGGGAATTAAATTTTAAACTCGATGCTCACTACATATTCTAGAAAATTGTGTTTTTATTCACTTTAGCTTGGAGAATTGAACTTATTTGATATGTTCACCTCAGGCAAAGGGTTTATATATGGCATTGCGCTCATATATTTCGATCGTGAATGACACTAGACTGAGGTTTTCTTCATTTACTCCTCTGACCAGTGATTGTAGAATACTTTTATACCGCCACTGTTTTGTCCGTTGAACCAAAACTATATTTTGGATTAGCTGAACACAACTCTTGAACGGACCGTAAGAGCGACTTCCGGTTAGCAACCAATCAGTGACGCCGTCTTTATGGTTTCCACAGTAACCGTTGCCTTTCCTTCTGCTAATTAACTAGCTGCTTAAAACTTGTGTAAGACGATTTTGCAATTGTTGTTATAATTTCTGAATAGTGACTTCCTAGCGCAACCAGCAATATTTTAAATAATTATTTTACGGGTTTGCGAGCTAAGCTATCTTAGTCGACGACAGAAAGCGTAGTTACGTTAGCGTTAGCTGGCTAATCAAGCAAAGAAGAGCCACTAAGTGCATCAAATCACACTTTTCCAAGATGAGCGAACAGTTGAAATTCATCGTCGAACAGCTGAACAGGGAACCATTCAAGAAGAACTTCAATCTCATCACGTTTGACTCACTTGAACCGATGCAGCTGTTGCAGATTTTGAACGATGTTCTGGCTGAAATCGACCCAAAGGTGAACCGATACTTTTATCAGAAATCTTTACCAACACTAGACGCTAAAGTTCATTACACTTGTTTCAGGGTTAACACCGAGTGATTATGTGTGGTGTTCATAGAAATAACGTGAGACTCTCACTGATGTTTATTATTATAGCAAGCCATAGACATCCGTGAAGAAATGCCTGAACAGACTGTGAAGAGAATATGTGCTCTGTTGGGGATGCTGAAATACAAACCTCCTGGTAACCTCTCTGATGTGTAAGTATCTGCAGGCACTTTCAGCTAAATTTCCCCTTATCTAATTCTGATGTTTATAATGTTGACAAATTGTCGTTGTACGCTATTTCTTGTTTCACTCAAAGTGTTTTGTTAGTTTGTTTTTTTAATTCAACATCTATAACATAAAATAGTTTCAGGGTAATTCTGGGAGACGGGCACCTTCTTGACTTTGTAGATTAGGCTTCAAATTTTATTTATTGTTAAAGCTTGTATAGTCACGGCTGGATCAGGTGATCCTGAACCATCATGGTGCACTGAGCATCTCTTTCATCTCTTTCCACTCTTCAAGTGTCTCTTGCAAATAATTTCAGGAAGGGTCCCCACCCCTGGTGGAACGTTTTGTTGGTATTGTACATATGGGACATGCCCATTTGTACTGGGCATATGGCCCACAATGATGATTCAAAACTGTGTAAACACAGGATGTTTTGGCTTTTGATAAATGGGTCCTGTGAAAAATCTTAAAGTATAAAAGACCAATTGTTCGTATTTTGCCCTTGTTTCTCTATACTCTTTATTTTGTTTCCACTCACCCTTCAGCCAGTTCTGGCACATTGCTGACCTCACTTAGCCTGGTTCTGCCAGAGATCCTTTCCTGTTAAAAGGGAGTTCTTTCTTCTTGCTGTCACTAAGTGCTTGCTCACAGAGGACTATGGGGCTGTTCTGTTTTTCTCTTTAATATTGTAGGGTTGTTAGCTTATGGTACAAAACACCATAAAATGATGGTTGCTGTGAACTAGCACTGTATAAATCAAATTAAATTAATTGATAAAATTAAACTCAACATGCACATCATTCATAGAGCTCTCATTTTTTTAACCTTTTCCTTAGTTTTCACTGTTTACAGTGAATTCACATAAATAAAGTACCTTAAATCTTGTAATCACCTCACTACCAGTGAAACGCAGCAGTGGATCTTCCATGTTTTACCATTCACCTTCTGCAGTTTGAATCAGCTCTCCTCCTTCATCCCTCCCTGCAGAAGCAGCTTCAGACAGGGTCTGGTGACTGGCAGCAAACCTGTGATTCACCCAATCCTCCACTGGCTGCTGCAGAGAGTCCCTGAGCTGAAGAAGAGGACTTACTTGGCTCGTTTTCTTGTTAAGCTCGAGGTGCCTGCAGATTTTCTGCAGGATGATATCATCAATGACACTTATCACCAGGTTTGTCAGCATATTAAAGATACATACACCTCCTGGATTACTGGAACTGCTATTTTAATACAAAGGTAAATAATGTGTGTTGACAGTATGAAGAGCTGGTGGAAGGATTTAAGACTTATCATAAGGAGTGTGAGCAGCTGAGGACTTCAGGCTTCTCCACAGCAGAAATAAGAAGGGTAACAAATACAGTGGTGTGAAAAAGTGTTTGCTACCTTCCTGATTTTTTTTTTTTTTAATTTTTTGTATATTTGTCACACTTAAATATTTCAGATCATCAAACAAATTTAAGTATTAGACAAAGATAACACACGTAAATGCAAAATGCAGTTTCTAAATGAAGGTGTTTATTATTAAGGGGGAAAAAAATCCAAACCTGGATGGCCCTGTGTGAAAAAGCTATTCCCCCTAAGCCTAATAACTGGTTTGGCCACCCTTGGCGGCAACAACTGCAATCAAGTGTTTGCGACAACTGGCAGTGAGTCTGCAGCGCTGTGGAGGAATTTTGGCCCACTCATGTTTGCAGAATTGTTGTAACACAGGGAAACTGGAGGGTTTTTGACCATGAACTTCCTTTTCAAGGCATCTCAATTGGGTTCAGGTCAGGTCTTTGACTAAGCCGCTTCAAAGTTATTATTATTTTTTCTTAAGCCATTCAGAAGTGGACTTGCTGGTGTGATTTGGATTATTGTCCTCCTGCAAATCCAAGGGCACTTCAGCTTGAGGTCACGAACAAATGGCCGTCATTCTCGTTTGTGATGCTTTGGTAGATGGCAGAATTAATGCTTCCATTTACTACTGCGAGACTTCCAGGTTCTGAGGCAGCAAAACATCCCAAACCATCACAATACCACCTCCAGGTTTTACTGTTGGCATGATGTACCTTTTTTTTTTTTTTTTTAATTATTATTATTTTTATATGTGACATCAGCCTTTTTTCTTTTTGGGGTTAGGGTTAGGTTGTTTCTTTAGATCGTGGCATGATGTGTTGTTTTTTAAGATATTTGTGCCTGCTCCAGCCATCAGACCGGTTCTGTTTTCCAAAAATGTCGTTTATCAGAGTTAATTCTTGATTTAACATGAGCGGTAATTAGTTTTCCACACAGGACCAGGTAGGTCTGAAAAACTTTTCTCCCTTAATCAATGAAATCATCCTTTAAAAACTGCATTTTCTATTTATTCTGGTTATTTTTGTCTAATGTTAAAATGTGTTTGACCTGAAACATGTAAGTGTGATAATTATGCAAAACACTAGAAAATCAGGAAGGGTGCAAACACTTTTTCACACTGTAGTCGCGCTTTACTCTTTACTACTTTTTACTACTCTTTACTACTACTACTACACTGCTTGTTAGAAGTTACTGATTATAATCTTTCGTCAGTATGAAACTCACATATGATTTCAATTTATATTTGTTGTGTAATAAATGACAGTAGAACTTTTTCATAAGCTTAACTGACATTCATGACATTAATTCATCTTTTCTGCAATAACAGGACATTAGTGCCATGGAGGAAGAGAAAGACCAGCTCATCAAACGTGTGGAGAGGCTGAAGAAGAGGGTAAGGCAGACTGCTCTGGGAGGCTGCGGCACTCCTGCAATGCTTGGAAGGCTTTAGAATTGACTGTGGAATGAAAACATGACCTCAAACATATATTATCAGCTCCTCTAATAAACCTGACAGGGATGTGACAGGCTGCAAGGCTGCTTAACAAGGCTAGAAGTAATGAGGTGCTGAATTTCTAGGTCTTACTTACAGGCCCTGTTAAAAGGTGAAACCTGACTCTGTCAGAGGGTCGCAGTTATTTTTGCTGACCCTCCGATGACTGCCGCAGCACTGAATGGTGTTTTCTTTCCACTAGGTGGAGTCGGTGTCTAACCATCAGCGGATGCTGGAGCAGGCCAGGCAGCTGCGGGTGGAGAAGGAGAGGGAGGAGGCGCTGACTCAACAGAAGCAAGAGCAAAAGAATCAGGTAAATACTTGGGATTACTTGTGTCATTTATCAGCGCTTTTGTTCATCACAGTATATTTTAGCAAGTCATGACAATCAAGTTAAACAAGTTTGTGGGCCGTTATGCACACTGCCTTTTCTCACTGTCTTTTGCTTCTCCTTTCTTGCTCGATGGAGTTTAAAAAAACAAAACTGTGTCTGGCACAATCTGGGTTTGGATTTAATGTGGAGTTTTCTGCTCACAGAGTTTTTATTGTTTGTTTTAGTTTTTTGTTTTCATTTCAGTTTAGTTTTGGCTGATATATCACAAGAAAGAAACTGAACTGAAATCTGTGTAGGAATTCTGTAAGAACAACAATGATTGTAGAAATATAATTTCTTGGGAAAAAGCTTTTAGAAACCTTATCTTGGGCCATTTTGGGCAACCTTTGTAAGCACCTTTTTATCACTTTTGGCTGTTGATTCTATAATAATTATCTGTCTGTGACTATTTTTGTTAGTGTTTAGTGAGCGTTGTCACACAGAATCAGCCCACCAAAGAGTCCAGTCTGGCCCACTGGCTGGCTTTGAACACTGTAAAGGAGGGCATAAATTTTGTGCTTGTTTGTAAGTTTTACAGCTTTTCCTGCTGATGTAGCCCTCACCCATGACCATTCATAATACACCAATGTCATTAACTAATAGAGAAACGGCAATGACAAAACAGAACAAGGATATTTCCTGTGAATTAACAAGTAATTATAAATGCAGGATATTCTGGGCAATGAGCTACCAGAAATTTTACTGTAATTTTATACAATTATTTCTACAATTTAAGCCCTTTTTTTTTACGGTAGTTGAGGTGACAGATTTCTGTCTTCTGTACACTGACAAAAAAGAGGAGTTTCACTGGTCACACAGTGAGCTGTATGCAACAAATGATATAAAATGAGTCTAATGTCTGTAGTTTAATGCTGTAAAATAACTGGCCAAATTGGTGCTCAGAGGATTTGCAGTGTGACTGCCAGGTGGCAAAACTAGATTCTAGAAGGACTTACTTTGCTGAGTGAGTTTTCTATTTTTGCATTTGTCAGATTTTAGCATTTAACATAAGAAGTGTACAACAGCAAAAAGATACGATACAGCATTGCAAACAGTTGGCGCACAGTCTCATTGGTATCAAACACATCCACGACTGCTGCCTCAGGCTGACTAACACATGTTAAAGTCTTCTTTTTATTTTCACTTTCATTGTTTCTAGATATTTTATAGACTGAAAACTGGCACATCAATGCAGAAAACAGGAAGATGATTTCATATGAAAATAGTGCTCTGATTTCCTGACAGTGCCTGTATCTGTGACTGTTTTTGTGTGTTCAGCTGTTTCAGGCTGAGCAGAGGCTGCTGAGATCAGAGCAGCAGTTGAAGGATTTGCGACAAGCTGCAGCAGATGCTAATCCAGAGAGTGAGTAGCCATGTCCCTGCTCCATGTATACAGCTGGATGGGTGGATTCAAGGTCACAACAGAGTGTGATGCGGGTGTCTCTCTGCTAACGGGCTTTCATCTGCTGAGACCCTCTGATTATGCTGATCTTTGAAGTGCTCTAATAGAGCTTATCTGATGGTGAAATTGTCGCCTTTTGTTCTCATCTGCTGTTGGCATCTTTAGCCAAATGAGAGATTTACACATTTGCAGTTTCTAAAACGACTGCAGTGCAGACAGAGATGGACCTGCACAATTAAAGTCAATAATCAGACGCGCTACAAATTTTTTAGGAACACTAAATGGGGCTGCTGATGTTTAGTATACATTTAATAAGCGCTTGTCTTTCTACAATAACATTTTGGCAGAATAGTTTTTTTACCATATATTTTTGATATTAGGCACTGAATGCCTGAAAGAGGTTTAAAATAGCTTAAAGAAAAGATTGGTCTCTTTCAGGCTTAATGAAGCGACTCGAAGAGGAGATCAAGATCAACTCCTACATGGTCTCTGAGAAGCTTCCCAAGGAGCTGGAGGGCATGAGGCGTACCGTGCAGTTCCTGCAGAAGGTGGCATCAGAGCCTGCGATGGGCCAGGCTGATCTCCAGGAGCTGGAGGACAAGGTCTGGAGGACCAGGGTTTGGTATTATGCTTGTGTACCTTCAAGATTCTAAATGTCCTTTAATTTCCTCTTTCACAGATTAAAGAAGCAGATTCTCAGATAAACCAGCTGATTGAGAAGAGGATGATGAGATATGACCCCATGGATGACAAACTCTCCCTTTACAGACAACAGGTGCTGACTGTGTTCATTCTTTCAGTCATCTTTCATTGTTCTGTCTAGTTTTGACTCTTTAATCAGCTACATTTTTTTCCCACAGGTTAAAAGGAACCTTAATGTAATTCATGTTAAGAACACTGTTACTTCTGAGATCATAATATAAAGTTGTAGCCGAGCAATAAGCAAACAAATTTTGATACAGTTGTGCCAAACATCATATTTAATTACTTTAAAATGAGGCTCTTAGGGAACAATGTCTCATTTTGTTAATTGCTTCTTCTGCTCACATCTATGGTAAGAGACACGAGGAGAGGAATCCAGGATGTGCAATTTGTGGTATGATAAAAGGGGCATGTCTGCACCAGTATAGTACACACACCATACAAACTGGAAATTTTGGATGTTTATGGAACAGAGACCTTTCAGAATCCACAAAAGGGACTACAGAATTATATTCATAACAGAGTTGGAGGAAAGATTGATTGCTGAGCAAATGGAGCTTGCATAAGTGTGCGTAGAACATGCAAATAGACCAAAGGATAGGCCTGAATGCAAAACATCTTACTGTGACCCTGTGTTTATTTCAGAAAACTCAAATTCTTAAGGTTTTTCACTCTAAAGATGTATATTGTACAATCATTCATCCCTTTGTCCATCTGTTCCTAAATAGGTTAAGATATTTTTCATTTGAAAGGTCAACGACTGAACACTAGTGATCTTTATTCTGTTCTCAGTGTGTGTCATAGGAAAAATGTTTGGGTTTTTTTCAGCTCTTTCATTTTTTCATATTTTCCATGGATTTATCGTGTTTGTATACGTCTATAACCTGACCCTTGTAGGCCTCCATCATCGCTCGAAGGAAGGAGTCAAAGGCAGAGGAGCTTCAGGAAGCAAGGGAGGAGCTGGCTGCGGCAGAGAGGGAGCTGAGGCAGAGGACAAACCAGACACAAGGCTCAGATGGGGAAGAGGTCATTCGTGGTGATGAGGTACACTGCCGGTTCACACACTCACTGCAATATTTGCTGGGGATTTTTGTGTGTGTGTGTGCGTGTTTGTTTTTTGTTTTTTTGGGGCTCCACAAAAAAGGAGTTTTTAGAAACAGGACACCGCTATCATCTCCAGCTTTATCAAAGAAAGTGCTAGAAGATTTGCAATCCACAGAAAACACAAGAGGCTATTTTTGTTCTTATCCAAACACAGACAGGCTCACTGTCTAATGTTACTTATCCCTTTTCCCTGCTCTCCCCCACATTCCCATGCACAGTCATAAATAGAACACAAAAGAGAGAATGTCCAGAACAAGGATTGTACTGGACAAACTTCCTGAAAGTTGGCCTTTTTCTTAATCTTTAGTGTAATCAGTCTCCTAATTCAAGTCAGCTGGACAAAAAAACCTTGAGCAGTCTTTGGGTATAGAGACTTTGCTCTCTATTTATATCCCATGACAAGATGTACTCCTTGTCCTTTCAGACACGTGGTATGGTTTACTCATGCCGATCAGTTGAAGTGAACTTAACATAGAATAAACTTAAACAAAATCTGGCGCTTGAATCAAAAAAGACTTGAGCAATCACTTCTCAGCGGGCCACTAGACTAAATTTAAAGTTACAGAGCTGACAGTGACTGCTCTGAAAGAGCAGAGAGATGCTAATGAATGGGAGCTGCGCTGGGACCATCAGAGCTCAATTTTCTAGAATCAGTTTCCATGGTTTCCTAAAGCTGACACCAGCACAGCGCAGCAATATTGCTGGGCCCAAAGTTGGATCCATGATCCCTAAAAACAAAAACAAAAAAAGATTTTGTACACTGTGATTTTCATCCCAAAATTGTTAGTACAACCAGTAAAAGCATGTAGTAATGAGCCCCAAAACCTGTTGAAATCCAGGCTGTTCCCCAAAAGGCACCAAAGCCAGAACAGCTCTGCATTGACATTATGTTAGTGGTAAAGAGGATGAAAACACAACAGACCTCACAGCAGAGTTTCCATTTAATGTAAAATGGAAACGCGGCACTTTTGCAAATTCTTTTCCTGGGAGCGTACTGTTAGAGTGATGCAGATTCTCAGCTGAGGGAACACATTTTATATGGCAGCCTTTTGAACCACAGAACAAGCTGCATGAACTGTGTTGGCAAAGGAATGCATTAAGTTGCTGATGTGGAAAATGTGACTTTGTATGTAACTATTAACTACATTAATAGTAAAATACGTTATTATATTGCATCATTATTTTAAACAAATGGGACAAATGGACATGTTTGGTTACACAAAAAATAGACACAAACTCTCCACCACGAAATATAGTTAGAAACAGTGAAGTATCAGGCACACTATTATATTTTACATTAGTCATGAAAATGTATTACAATCAATTTGAGACTCTTTAACTGAAATTGGAGAGCTGTTTGTAGAAACAAAGAGGCCCTTGAGACGACACATGAATGAAGTGAATGGAAAATGTTTTGTCAAACGCGGCTTATCAGACTCCTCCTGTAGTTTCGGGCTATCAGCCGCAGTGGAGATGATCACTTTATCAGAGGTATTTTCCATTCTGACCATTACGTGTCATCACATGCCGCCCACCAACTGCAGGGTCTCTCTGAGGGGGGATGACGGCATCTGTTCGTCATTGGTTGGAAAGTAACAAGAAACCATTTTAACCAGCATCCTCGTCACTCTGGTTAAATTTAGTCTTACTTCAGTCACAAATCCGACTAACGCTTTTTTAAAAAACTTGAAATAATGTGGATTTATTTTGATTTCCTGCTGTTTGTCCCACGTGCAGTTATTTGGAGCATACGCTGCACGGTTGAGGGCTTTGTTAACTGGTCTGCATGTGTGTGGGTGTACTGCTGAATGAGCCACCGTCCATTTTAACAGCAGTTGTTTTGGGGATACAGTGTCAGGAACACTATGCAGTATAATTCTGCTGTGTTAATTCCTCTTGCGGTCACGTCTGCCCTTGACGTTCCAAAATACACAAAGAATAAATGTGCGCACAAACACACACGCATTGATCCGCACGAAGCACATTCTGTGATTTCTGGGGCTGTTCTTCTGTGTCCGTGTTCATTTATAGCTGCTCTTCATTGTGGAGGAGTTTCAGTGTGTCCCAGCAGACATTTGGGGTGGGGAGTAAGTGAGCATCCACTTAAAGCAGTTATTCTGTCAGATGAAGCTGTTTGCTGCACATAGCTGGCTGTGAATCTCAAAGGATCGGGTGACTCTTTCAGATCATAGCATGGCCTCCAGGCCTCCTCATTGCAGCCGCTGCTGTTCTCTAATCCCTTCCCTCCCCTGGCTCAAGCCATTGTCTTCTCCTGTAGCCTTTCATAGTATCACAGCTGTGCCGGACACCATGCCTCCAAATATAAACTGTGTTTAGGCCTCTTTCATTGCAGTTTCCATATCAACTTTACACTTTCTTTGTTACAGCAGGTTTTAATGTGCTTCACAGAACCATCAATAATATCAAAATGTATGTGTCTTGGTATTTTGAAGGACCTATAATCAATATTTACATTAGATAAATGGGGAGGGTTGCATCAGGAAGTGTAGGTGACGTAAATTCTTTGCCAAATCAAACACGCAGGTCATCAAGAGTGAGACTTCTATATCGGATTGGTCGGGTCCCAGGTCAACAACAACCACCTCCAGTACTGTTGGCCAGCAGTGTGCCAGTGGAAACTGTGCTACTGTTGGCCGGGGAAGCGTGTTCGGAGGTAGTAAGGGAAGGAAAGGCACGAGTGTGGGGGTGTGAATAGGGACCTGAAATGTAGGGATTATGATTGGTAGAGGGAGAGAGCTGATTGACATGATGGGGGGAAAAAAGGAAGGTGGATATATTGTGCAGGAGACTACTTACAGGGAAACAAGGTCAGAAGCATTAGAGATGTACTCAAGCTGTTCTCCCATAATGTAGATATGTAGAGAAATGAGCAGGGGTGAGCTTGTGTGAAGAGTAAGTGAATAGTGTTGTGGAGGTGAAGAGAGTATCAGATAGGATGATGAGCTTGAAGCTTGAAATTGAAGGGGTGATGATGAATGTTGTCAGTGTGTGTGTGTGTGTGTGTCCAACAAATTGAATATTAGGTAGAAAAGGGAAAGGAAGTGGCAGAGAGGGGAGCGAGTGGTGTTTGGAGGAGACTTCAGTGGACATGTAGATGAAGGACAGAGGTGAGGAGGTGGTGTTGGGCATGGATGGTATTAAGGATAGAAATGCAGAGAGACAAATGGTAAAGCTGTGGTGTTCACATACTTTAAGAGGTGATGTAAATGAGTGGAGGTAGGTGCATGCAGATGGCCTATATTCTATGCAGAAGGTACAATATGAAAGAGTTTGGATACTGCAAGGTGGGGTCCAGGGAGAATCTGAGTCTGTAGGATCACATTAAGAAGAAGAAGCAAGTGAAGCCAGAGGCAAAGATTAAATGGTGGAAGCTGAAGAAGGAAGAATGTTGAGCCAGAGTTCAGGCAGGATTTGAGCTTGTCTCAAATCCTGCCTGAACTCTGGCTCAACAAAAGTAGCGAAGAGTTACCAGATGAATTGGTGAGGAAAGAAAACGAGGAATTTTGTCTTCTTTCCTGGAGGTATGATCTAGAGAGAAGAGGACTAAAAGTCGGTAGTAGTAAGACAGAATGGATACGTGTACTCGAGAGGGAGGCAGGTGGAAAGGTGAAGTAGCAAGTAGAGGTAGTAAAGTTAGTTGACTTCAAATATCTGGGCGCAGCAGCTCACAAGAGAGGTGAAGGAGAGTGCAGGCAGGGCGGCTGGGGATGAGTATCAGAGGTGACATTTGACATTAGGATAGCAGTGAGAGTGAAAGGGAAGGTTTACAAGACGGCATTGACACCTGCTATGATTTAATGTTAGCAGATGGTGGCACTGGAAAAAAGACAGGAGGCAGAGCTGTAAGTGCCAGAGTTGATACTAAAATCTTTGATGGAAGCGAGGGAAGTACTAGAAATGAACACAGAGGTACAGTCAGGTTGAGTTGTTTGGAGACAGTCAGAGAGGTAAGGTGGGGAAGGTTTGGGCATGTGTAGAGGAGGCATAGTGGACCTATTGAATATAGAGCTGCTGGGTATTTTCATGCAACCTTTGAGTAACACTAAGGCTACGTTCACACTGCAGGTCTTAATGCTCAAATCCGATTTTTTTGATCAAATCCGATTTTCTTTGTCTTCTCGTTCACACTACAAATAAAAGTGTTCTTATCTTCTCCGGCGCTGATAATTGGCGTCTGTCAGTGACGTAAAAGATGGATTTAATGCGACTTGACCGTTCAAACAGCAGTCGCTTTCTGAAACATCGGATATGTATCGGATTCAGTACCACATACGAAAGTGACCCAGATCAGATTTGAAAATATCGGATTTGTGCCGATAACACTGTGGTTAGCACTGTTGCCGCACAGCAAGAAGGTCCTGAGTTCAATTCCACCATCAGGCCGGGGTCTTTCTGTGTGGAGTTTGCATGTTCTCCCCGTGTTTGCGTGGGTTCTCTCACCGTCTTCCTCCCACCGTCCAAAGACATGCAGCTTGTGGGGATAGGTTAATTGGATAATCCAAATTGCCACTAGGTGTGAATGTGCGAGTGAATGTGAGTGTGAATGGTTGTCTGTCTGTTTATCCAGGACTTACAGGCATGTCCATAATGTGTTCCTTCGCATTTGTGACTAATGCCGAATTCTGTTTCATTGTTCTTCTAAGATGAAACGATTAGTGGCGAAACTCCGCAGCAAGGGAACAGTATACAAGAAGAAACGCCAGGAAATCGCTGAGCTGAAAGCAGATTATGGAGTCGTGCAGCGCACAGAGGAGATTCTCAAGCAGAGACATGATGCTGTCCAGCAGAAACTGGTAATTCCTGATTTTGAATTTCATGTGAGAGAAGCAGAATCATTCATTTATTTACAATAAAGCAGAGGAAGGACTGGGATTCACAACTTTACGTTACTTTGTGAAGACTATTGTGATGCTATTGTGAGGGAAGTCTCATTAAAGACACCCTTCAGTAATAATTTAATATTTAGTATTTGGACCTGGACCAGAGAAATCTTCCTAACTGCTCCTGCTGTCCTCTCTGAACTGTCATATTCATACAATAACCGCCCCACCTCCTCCCCCTTCGTCATACTGTCAGTCCAAATGTGTTGTTTTCACTTGATCCTCCCATTCACATACTCTCTGCTAACAGTGAAGTGGTAGAAGTTTCCTAGAAAGGGCTTCACACCTTTGTGTGGTCCCAGCACCTGACTTGTTGATGGGCTCTCTGACGCAGGCTGAGCTACTATTTCTGACGGTTCCATCTGCTGCTCCTTCTCTGTCTGCATCCCACACAAGGATTTGATAAAGCAATGGACGTTTTTTTTAAAGCATCATACCTCCTTATGCATTTCAGAGATCAAATGACAGACACCCTGTTAATGTTAATTTTACGTGGAGCAATATTCAGCCCCAATTCCATGAAATGTATAAATTGTAAATGAAAACAGAATGCAGTGGCTTGCAAATCTCATAAACCCACATTTTATTCAAAATGGAGTATTAAAACCTATCAAATGTTTAACGTGAGAACATTTTAAGAAATCTATTAGCCTTTTTTCAATTTGATTGCAGTAACATGTTTCAAAAAATGCTGCAGCATGGCCATTTTTACCGCTGTTAGGCTGTTTACCTCTGCCTTTCTGCCCTTTTTTAATTTCCTCGATGCTCTTTTTATACCCAATCATTTATTGACCTGTTGACAGTAACACGATTGGTTCCTGAAATGGTGAAATGTTTCAGTTTAAACAGCTGGTATGTTTTCTTGGTTGTATTGTGAATAAAATATGGGTTTATGAGATTTTCAGATTGCTGCGTTCTGTATTAATTTGCATTTTATGCAGAATCCCAATTATTGGGGAATTTAGGTGGTATGTCTGAAATCAAAGACAATATTCCTAATCATTAAAAAACAATATCTGACTATTTGTGCTGTGTTTTAAAGCAAGCCGTGGAGGCTGAGAAGGGTATCTCTGGCTACAGTGATACTCAGGAAGAGCTGGAGAGGGTTTCTGCCATCAAGAGTGAGCTAGATGAGAAGAAGGGCCGCACTCTGGATGACATGTCTGAAATGGTGACTATACTTTTTGGGGTTTTTTAAAAATCTGAAGTGCTTTTTGACTTACTGTAGGCTTAGTAGTTACTATAGATACATACTGATTATCGATTATTTAGTCTGTTCTCAGTGAGTTCATATAAAGCCAGGAGAAGAAACAACTGAGTGTTTAAAGCAGTCTGCACTCTGAGCTTTTGATTGACATGGGTTACTTGTACCTCATTATTTGAACTTTTAGCCATCTTGCTAAGAGCGTATGAGCAATCACTATTGGAACATTGTATTTATGACAGAAAATAAGGAAAAGCAGAGCATGTCCAATTTAATGTTCTTCACATCTTCATTCGGATGTAGCCAACACAGTTACAGACAGAACCCCGATAAGCATGCAGTGTCTGCCATAGGTGTAAAAGGCTTATTGCACATGTGCCAACAAATACTGTTAGCATTGATGATAAAGTGAACTTAAATGACATAATTGTCTCCAGTGTTGTCAGTTAAAGCATAACTTTAACTTTAACAATGTGTGTCTGTGTACATGTGTGTCTGTGTGTGTAGGAGAATATGATATGCCACTGAAAAGAAAAGCACCAGTGTTGCAGTTTAATTGATTGAAGCCCATTTAGCTGATTCAGTTTTAGGGCCCTTGTATTGTGGATACAGGCTCACTGTAATTTGTAATAGACTTTTTTTTTTTTTCTTCTTTTACCGCCCACATTTTGTTTTCCCACAGCAGGGAAAAGGTGAAATTTATGATCCTGTCTTGAGCTGGACAGTGAACCAGCATGCGCACACACACAGTCCATTATTTGAACTATTCATTTAGCCACCATTTATTTATCTGCACTTTCCCTGGAGTTTGGCCTTTAGGGAGTTTATGAAAGTCTAAAATAACTACAGCCAAGTGAAAATTCAGCACAAGTTAGCAAATAATAACCTCTGTGTTGATGCTCGGGATATTTAATTAAAGCTGAAAGTTTGATTTTATTGTTATCAGTAATGGGAAGTTACAACAAGAATGCTAGTTCATAACTTCCATCATCATCCTTTTGTGTGGAAGCCCAGGACATCAGTTGTGACTTTTTTATGAATTCGGTAGCGTGTGTACTTCTGCAGACTGTAAGATTGCTTGTTAATGATGATATCAAATATACCTGGATCCATGCTGAAAGGACGCTGTTACACTAAAATTTTAAAATGGCATTTCAAACCCATAAAACTGAAATCTGGAATGTTTCAATCAATACTTACCTACTTACACACACACGCTAAAGGCACTTTCTCCAAATGTTGATCTGGTTGACAATGCTGTCTAACTTCATCATTAGTCACAGTCGTATTACCTGCTGTTTACTCTTAAGTCTGTGAATGCATACAAAGGTACATGTGTGTGTGATTATTGTAGGACTCCTTTTTTGTGTTTTGTTTTTATTGTTAATGCAGTGTGTGCCGTTATCTTGTGTTTTTTGAAGGTGAAGAAGCTAAACTCAATGATAGTGGAGAAGAAGTCTGCGCTAGCACCAATTATTAAAGAACTGAGGTCACTGAGACAGCAGAGTCAGGTGAGCATCATCTGAATTATTAAACGAGAACTTCAAAGAAACCTCACGGCACATCAAACGGTGTTTGTAAAGATAGTTTGATGTGCCAAAGACCACACCGAAACAAGGACCTTCAGCTCACATGACAAAGCAGCATCCCTGTTTAACACCCAGCCTGTCAGAAAAGGGATCCTGGCAAGAATTTGGTACGGATTTTTCATTACAGAGTATAACTTTCAGAAAGAGTGGGTAATTCATGCTCCAAAATATCTTCGGTGAGTCCTAATTCTGTTTCTGCGAACAAGTAGAAGTTCACTTTTATATTGTGCTACCATGGACAAGGTCCATTAGGAGTAATTTGCATGATCCATAAATCAATGTATAATGGGAAAGCATCCTGCATCCCTGAGCTAGAGCAGAGGATTTAATTTTCCTACATGTGTGCCCAGAATTGCTCTTACATCTCAATGGGTCACGTCTGTTAATGAAGAGCTGCAACGGGAAGACATAAATAGACTCTGTAAGAAGTTAAAGTGCTAAAACTACAGCTGGGATCTTTTGTTGACATTAAACAGTGCTGTGAGCGGGACACGAGTGTTGATAATAGTGCATTTGTCTCAGTTCTGACTGTCTAGTAATGGATTTGCTTTTCTGTTCCGGTGTGTCCTGCTCGGATTCTTCATAGGAGTTAGGCCAAGAGTATGAAGAAAAGAAGGCACAGTATGAAAGCTGTGCTGCTGGTTTGGAGAGCAACAGATCAAAACTGGAGCAGGTATAATTATTATAGTGCAAGGGTTTCATATGCACAGCAGTTTAGGTGAATTTTACGTGCTTTTTTCCCCCGTGTGTTAGTACATGTTTGATCTTTAGCATGGTTATATAAGAACGCCCATCCTCTCTTTAAATCACAGGAGGTGAAAGCACTGAGGGATGAGATGGCACAGAAGGAAAACCGATACCATCATATCAACACCATGTCGCAGGCAAGTATTTTGAAAAGATACAGTAGTTACTTAAAGCAGGACCACAGACTGTGCACTGTTATCGCTGTTTTTAAGCCAAATTAGAAACATGAGTGCATACAATGTTGCAGCATTTTGTAAGCCACCTGCCCCCACAAGCACCCACTGGGACAAACTGTAAACTCGGATCTGTGCCTCTCTGTCCTCGGCAGATCCTTGAGATGCAAATACAGAGGGCAGCTGAGGAGATGAAGGCCTACGTGTCTCCTGATCCGCAAGAGAAGAAGAAAGCCATGAGGTGAGCCTGCTGAGCCAGGCCAGCCAGCTGCTTGCGAGATGAATGGCCTTTTTTATTTCAGCAGGCTCTCATTACACTAAAGCCAGTTAATCTACTGCCACTGTTTCCTTGCTGTTGTGATGACACACCTTTATTTTTAATACATGGGGTGAAATCAGCTTGAGAAATGGCTGTTGCACACATGTTACTAATCTTCCTCTTGTTCACTGTAGGGAAGTGTACATGAAGAATATTTCCGAACAGGAGTTACTTGGCAAGGTGAGAAAAGTGTGCTGAGCGAGTGCTGACCCAGCAGATTCTAGGACGGGTCAATACTTGGAAATATTCCTTTATTCTGTCAAGAACATGATCTGAGGACACACAGGTTAGCCAAGGTGGTTTCACAGAGTTTGCTTTGGAAGTAAAGTACCGTAATGCATAGTAAGGAATACACCTGAACATTCACATCAGGACACAAAACCAAACAGTAAATTATATGTATTACTCTATAAAAGTGCAAGCAAATTCTTTATAGAATTCTCTAGAAATGCCATAAATATGCATCTAGTTTGCAGAGTTGAGGTTATATTAACATATATGGCATCAAATCTGAATTCTGTCTTTGAATAAATGCCAGTTGTTTTTATCTCAGGTCTACAGAGGACAGTAGAATGTCATAATGAGACAGATTTAACATACTTTTGTTTGCACCAGGTTGGCACAAATGTGATCATGTTGGGGTTCATTTAATTTTGAGCAAACGGAGTCTGCGCTGGGTATTTTTCACCAATATCTCTTTTCACGTGTGGTCTCCAGAAGTTGCGAGAGGAACAGAAGACGGTGAGGGAGAGCCACAGCGCCAACATGGAGCAGGTGAAGATGTGGCGTGACCTAGAGCAGCTGATGGAGTGCAAGAGGCAGTGCTTTATAAGGGCAAAGAACCGGGAGTCTATCGGTCAGATCATCCAGGAGGGAGGGGAGGACAGGCTGGTGCTGTGAGGAGTCATCTAGGAATGATGGGCTGTGATTCCACTGAGTTCAGCTTAACAGAGTTTCTGTCATCGTTCTGTCACAGGCTTAATTTTCCTCATATATCTCTTCTCTTTATACCCAGCTGTTGTTTCAGTTGGAACTTTAGAACCAGACCACTAACCTAAAGAGGTGGCATGGTTTAAGATGCTTTTGAATCTCCAACTTAAAGAACACGTGCAGCGGCACAGGGGTTTTCACTTTCTGTGGCCCACAGGAGACTCCTTTCAATCAGAGTGTCCAAAGATAACAGGATACAAAGTGGTGCTCTTGGGATGTGGCCACAGTCAACTATTATTGGCACTGCCAACCATGACCTTGAGCATGGGTTGAGATTCCAGTTTTGGAATTCACTGGGAGCCCCCACTGCATTGAAACAGTCAGAATATTCTGCTTGTGGAATACTGTAATGGATCCTTTTTTTCAATATGGTTGTTCATATTTCCTGTGTTTTTCTATTAAATATATTTAATAATGATTTTGACTCATGTTTTCATTGTGACAGAGAAAAATATATGAATGTAAATTAGGAAAGCTATGTAGACTGTTGGAGTTTAAAAGAGCAGTTGGTCTGTCCTATTCATTGCCTTCATTTGTTCTGTTTTGTTTTTTCACCATGAATCAATTTTGCATCATATCTGAAGGGAAAAACTTTTATTTGGATGATGAAGATTCATATCTTTTTTAGCAGGTAACACGACACACACGTCTGCCCGCTGACTTTTGAGTGTGACACGTCATTCCCAGCAAATGTCTTCATGGATGTTTCAGGGTCTCGACCTCCCCCTCTCCCACAGGAACTTAATCTGCTGTTGACAGCCAATGTTAGTGGCCCTTGTGCCAAACGGATCAAGTGTGCTTTGTAAAAGGCTGCTTGATGTCCAGCTGGCTGGTGCCATGTTATTGTTGTTACAACACCTTGTGCTTCTTGGGACCTTATTAAGACATTAACAGATGATGCACGCCAGTCCTGTAAAACATCTGACAGCACTACCCTCTGAAGACCCCAGAGGAGGGCGGGGGATCCTTTTACACCTTTACAGAAAATTGGACCTTTGTTTTGCAAACACCTTTCACTTTAAACCTTTTTTTTTGTGGTATTGGTATGTCTCTGCTACTAGCTGGTGTAAATAAATGTTCCAATTTTCTAAGACCATCTCAATTCCATCCTTTTTTCTCTCTCTAATTAAAGCGGTGATACATTAAACGAGCAATGGACTTTTTGTATTTGGATGCCTTCATTCTGTCTGCATGAAGCTGCCTATAAAGCTGTATAAGCACATTTGGGCAGAGCATTGCAAGATTATTGTAGTTAATAAAAACTAAAAAGGTATGTGGAATGATTTTTTTTAGGTAATTAAATATCATATTTGTGAAATTGTGGTAATATTTACTTAAGACTTAAACTGAAAAAAAATCAAAAAGGCGTCTTTACTTTCAGTCTTAAGCTCTTGCTCGTCCCCTCGTATTACCTGTTTATATATATTTTTTATTAATACAGGACCATCAGGGCTGCCCATGTTCAGTGTTGAATGAAAAGGACATTGAGAGGACATGTATATAATCGCCAATGCTTAAAAAAGATTTTAAAAAGCAAAACCACCACCTTTGCTGCTGCAGAAATCTCCTTGAAATGTCATGTTTCTGTCAAAATATTATAATAAATTTCTGATGTTGTGTTTTTATTGTAATTCTGACTTTAATCTAGATTAAAGTCAGAATTCTTTTTTTTTTCCAGTGGCCCTAATCCTCTTCCGTAGTAATGTCTATTCTCGACTTGTTTTTGAACAAGTTGTTAAACCTTTCCCCAGAAAAATCTGTCTATTAAACTATTAAACATTTTATACACACACACACACACACACACACACATTATACATATATATATATATATGCGCCTCTATTTCAACTTGGACATTCATGAAGCGGTGGAAGGGTATCTTAAGGAATAACTTGTCAGCCGTATAAAGCCAACTGATAGCTCCAGGACGTCACGTGTCACACCACTATAACAGTGTCACCTGCCAGGTACACTGAGGAAGACGTGGCGGGCAATATGAAACACTTAAAATGAATGCATAGTGACCCTACACACTGTACGAAGTGACCCAATCTTCACGGCTTACATAAAACAAACCCCCCGGTATGTCGGCCTCTCATTTCCTGGTTATGTTCCGGTTTTTTTCCGGCTCTCCTTAGCTGACGCGGTCGTCCAATGATATGAGTCCACATGCAGCGCAGGGAAGAGGGGCAGCAGTGAGGCGCTTTGATAAAACCAGACTGTCGGCAGCGCGTGAAGCCACTGAGAGCTGCGCCACGGTGAGGCAGGGTACGGCACGGGAGCACAGAGGAGGACTGGACCGGGTGAATGCAGTCCTCGGCACGGGACGCTGCTGCAGACACTTTCCCACTATTTTCGGACATAACGGGAGGCGCACAGTAACCACGCGGGGAAGAGGAATTTGTCTACAAAATTTCCGTCGTGAAGGAAATCTTAAGAGGGGCCGAGAAGAGAAAGGGACACGTTACACCTCTGTCAGTAGCTGCCGATAGCTATCCGAGCTGACAAAGTCCTCGCTGCTCTAAAAGTCCTCACAGGGTAGGGAGCCACAAGGTATCCTCCACCGGTGTTCTCGGGTACAGCTGAGTGAGAAGGAGCCGTCTATCCGCCATGGAGAACGCTCACACGAAGAGTGTGGAAGAAGTTTACAGTTATTTCAGCGTCAATGAAAGCACAGGACTTTCCCTGGACGAGGTGAAACGACAGCGGGAGAAATGGGGCCTAAACGGTACGACAGCTAAAAACCGCAAAGCGACGGAAAAACAAAAACGCTGCGGCTGCGAACGAGACACGGCGTGAAAGTGTCATGTCACGGTGGCGTGGGCAGCGCGAGCTCAGTTTTTGATATGCGGGGTAAAAGTCGCCAGCATCATCATCAGACCGTATGGTGATTTGGCTGACGTCACCTCGAGGGTTTCCCGTGTTTTACACAGTAACGAGTTAATCATTACTCAGAGGCCGTAGCTGTGCACGGTAACAGTGCGTGAGCCGCCTGTGATCGCGGCCACGCTGCTGACAGCAGCGGGGAAATGTGGCGCGGTAGTTTCACACGGTAACCCTGTTGAATGTTCCTCAGCAAACTGTAATACATGTGCACTGGACACTGAGCAGTGGGTACAGGCTTACTGGACCAACACTGCCAAAGTTAATCTCTCTTGTCCCAGGCTTAAACAGCTGTTTTATATTAATATCAACTGGGAGGCCATGGACGGTATTCCCTCCTTCTAGCTCACTTTGACCTTTGCACTGATTGGATTTTTATTTAAATATTTATTCCTGCTGTGTAATAAAGCATCACTGATGTAAATTATGTACCCTTGTTGGCGCTAGAACATATGGTCTTGCATATAAAAGTATTAAATAGTTGCAGTGTGATTTCTTTCATGGGTTTAACAGTCAAACAGAGGCCTGCATACAGAAATTCCCCTCTTTTTCTTTCACATGAAACTGAGAATAAGCTGGTGGCTTTGACACCTAAATGTGCCTGAGATTTAGAGCTATGAAAGTAACGCTCACAAACATGCAGAGAGTTGCTGTTTCTCAAGTGGGAAACTTTTTGTTGTTGTTGTGTTCATATATTACTTATTTATTTATTTTTTCTTCTTTGCCTGCTTCCTGTATGATCCCCGGATTGACAACCGCATACCCACACACAGAGTTACCAGCGGAGGAAGGTAATCACTGCTGTCACTCACACCACTCCCATCATTTTTATGCTGGCAAGTTTCTGCGATTGGCTTGTTTTTCACTCCCTCCTCTCTCTCTCCCTCTCTTTGCAGGGAAATCTTTATGGGAGCTCGTCCTCGAACAGTTTGAAGATTTGCTCGTTCGAATTCTTCTGCTGGCTGCATGCATATCTTTTGTAAGTATATGCTAGAGCGTTTGTTTTAATGTACCACACAGACTTGCTTTCAGTCATCTCATCCCAAGCTCAGTGAGCTGAAACTGAATTGCGGGCTTCTTCTCGAAATTCAGCTGAGCTTCTTAGTTTTTTATTCTCAGTGTTAACTCCCCTGTGCTGTCACCCCCTGCGTGTCCGCGTGATGATGTGCTAATCTTAAAGTCAGAAGAAACCTTTTCACATCCCTCAAATAGCTTCCTCTTTCCACCTCTGTCTGAAAGTGTTTACATGAAGCCAAAGCCGCAGATGGGATTATTATAAAGCCCGGTGTCATAAATGGCAGCACATTATTTATTCAGTGCATAGTGCTGAAGTGTGAACGTCTTCAGTTTGTATAACGTGCCTATGGTTACACTCACATATGGGAGCTAAACAGCTGAGAAGGCTAGCAGCCCGTCTGAGGAATGGTGACAACAGCAGTAGCAGCATTGAGTTGCTATCACCATGTGCCAAGTAAGACATTTGAGTCGCCAAGCGTGACTGCTGTGTAATAACTTGCACTCGGTCTCGTCCGGGCCGCAGGCATCCAATGCTACATGGATATATGTTTGATGGCTTACACTTGCATAACAGCGTCACTGCCATGTGTCTGAGCCAATTTATAAGCTAAATGAAGTGAACATTTCCACATGATATAAACTATAGATCCACCATGCAGCTTGTAGCCTATGAAATGTACCTGTCAGCTGCAGGGAAGCGACTTTTTAAAACAATCTTTTATGTCAAAGGTGGAATCATGGTTACCTTGCACATCTCTTCTTGTCTCTTAAGTTCTTCTACTGTGTTTAGATAAAATGTAACAAGTAAATAAGAACATGTTCTCTGATCTGCTCCCAAAAGCTAAATTGAGTAAAATAAAAATAAAAGCATTTTATTTTGCTACATTTTGCTGTCAGATATGGTCGTGCTTTTTTCTTCTTCTCTTTTTTTTTTAAAGCAGTCTTTAGCACTGCAAAGATTCATCCTTGCTATTTAATTCTATAAATGACTGCTAACTTAACAGATGGCTGAAGAAGACTTTGATAACTGAGGCTGCCTGTGTGTGTGAGAGAGAGAGAGAGAGCTGGTAAGAGTGGTGTCAGGTGATACAGAGGTGTCAGTCGCTGCTGTCTGACAGTGGAGCAGAGCACCACTCGAGACCAAATTTGGTTCCTCACCCCTCAGTGGGAGGGCTCTCTATCAGACAGAAGTGCACACCAGCGTCGGTGTAAATTTAATGTGTATATAACCATCAAACCTCTTAGAAAACTAAAAACCATATCCAGAAGAATGTGCTTGGATGAGTGATTCACATTCGCCTGCTGCATGTTTAGCTGCTCTTTATGCAAATATCTAATCAGCCAATTACATGGCAGCAATGTCAGAGGGGCTGGTCTGAGTATTTCAGAGTGTATTATTTTAGTTATTATTATTTTAATTAATTAAAAATGTGTATGGATTTTAGATGGATGGATTTAATGTTTGAAGAGGTTACTCTGGTTTCTAACACACCACAGTTAACATTTCTTTGCTATTTTCTTACTAATCAATTCATCGACAAGCAGATTGCCATTATATTAAAATGAAGAGGGTAGCTGGTTAGAGTAGTATCTTTACATGTATTGTATGCCATGACATACAATAGCGCATTATAAGCACTTCTGTGTTGAGATGAGCTATTAAAGCATTATGCTTGCCTTTTTGAATTATGCCATTCAAAGGTCTTTGGCATCCACTGCAGTCAGACACTTGGGTCTTACTGAGGTTGATTGCTTTATACATTATGGCAGATTAACTAATTGCTTGTGACAGACAGAGTAATTTAAAGACCGTTTTCTCAGGAACAGCAAGCCAAATGAGACTCCGGGTCAATATACTGTAATTCTTTTCCTGGCAGTTTTGAGTGTGCGTGTAACAATGTTGAGACTGGTCCTTTGGTGTTCGTGATGTGAATTAAGTAAAATTGACAGGCTTAAAAAGTGTTAACTTAATGGAGGTCTGACCGTGTTAACCCCACAGCTTTCTCCACAGCCACCTGTTTGCATTATTGAATGAATTACTCATGAAGTAGCCTCTGTCCATATACAGCTTAGCCAAGCTTTATAGCTTTCAGAGCAACAGCAAAAACCAGTAATTACAATGTATGTATGTTTATAATCCACTGTGCATATGAGTATATAACCAGCTGCTCACAATGAATAGAATAAATCCATTTCTAATGTTTCTAACCTAACTAGGAATTTTAAAGGTCTGCTGTTTACAACAAAACTCTGAACATTGTTATTCCATTTTAAATTGAGGACAAGAATGTGTTGTATTCAGGGATGATATGACATGTATGGATTTTAGCCGTGTGATGGGATATTATTTTCTCCCAGATATTGTATAAAAATATGCTGCTGATGATCCTAAATTATTAATAATCTCAGAGTTTAATGTGAAGATTCTGGCAGATGGCTAAATCCTCACATAAAATCAACACGGCAGTATTAAAAAGGGATCTCTTTTTGAAAGAAATAACCAGTCAAGTTTTATCAGAGATGTGAGCTTTAGTTTTTTTTTCTTCCATGCAAAAACCGTGGTTAGTTCTTTCTGGATTTTGTCCTCTTTTTGTGAAGCCGCAGTGGTAACAGTCGTACTCAGAGACACTTGACTTCTCTTGGATGAGAGCAGAGTTTTGTTTTTGTTTTCCCCGAAAAACTGACACAAAAGCTCACTTCAACTCAAGATTGTATTTGGTCTAAGGTGACCTTACAAAACACATTTCTGGTCATAGGATGATGATGATGTAAGGTTGATTCTGGACAGATGGAGCTGTGCTATATGCAAGCACGAGGCAGGGAGCTCTCTTTTCTGTGAAATGTCTAATAAATACTGATGGTTTATTTGACTTCTTTCAGGTCCTGGCCTGGTTTGAGGAGGGAGAGGAAACTATCACCGCATTTGTGGAGCCTTTTGTAATTCTACTCATTCTTATAGCAAACGCTATCGTCGGCGTGTGGCAGGTGAGAGCATAGCGAATCACGGCTTTGCATTTTTATTCGTACTTAATTCTGTTTTTGGACAGTTTGAGCACTGTCTGAATATCATCAGGGTTTAGTGCATTTTTGTTGAAAAAAAATCTAATTTCATGAATATGAATGTGGTATTTTTAGCATTTCAAAGCAATGTGTTAAACTACAGTTATATTAGTATTGAAGGCGTGTCAGTGTGAGGGAAAAAATCCTAATAAAGCCGAGCTAAATCAGATGCCACCAATGTGACAGACTTCAAAAAATAAATATCCCTTATCAGTTTACTAATAACCCCTATCAGTTTGATCCTGCGTCCAGTGCAGTGTAATCCAGTGCAACATGATCTGATCATCCAAAATGAAAAAACAAGCTCAAACTGGGTTCCCGATCTCCTTCAGAGGCTCGAGTACTGAAATCTACGTAACAGTACTGCATGTTTAATTAAACATTCCTTGTATCTGCGTTACAGCCCCGCTGTGAGTTGGAGGTTTTACCATTAAACTTCACAGGCAATGCAGAAAAACACTGCACTGAAAGTTATTTTTGTCTCAAAGAAGACTTCCTATTCAAAAGGAACAGGCTGCCGGTTTTCATCAGCAGCCTTTCTCTAGTTATTTATTTATTTTCAAACTGTGTGGGTTTGAGTGATGTTTTTCTTGCTGGTGAAGAGTAAGATTGGAAAATGAGAACATTTAATACACTTAACACCTAAATGTCCCCAAACACAACCCGAGGAGAGATGCACGCACATCCGGCGAGAACAGTCAGTGCCCCTCCAAAGGAAGTGTCCAGCTTTCTGCAATCGTGATAGTTTGCTGTAGAGCAACTCAGAAATATTTGCCCTGAATCTCATCTTCTTCTCACCAGGAGCGCAATGCTGAAGATGCCATCGAGGCGCTTAAAGAGTATGAACCTGAGATGGGGAAAGTGTACCGACAGGACAGGAAAACTGTGCAGAGGATCAAGGCCAGAGACATCGTGCCTGGTGACATAGTGGAGGTTGCTGGTAAGTTGACCTGCATCTGTAATGCTTTTATACGCGTCGTTTAGGAAAAAATAGATTTGGCTTTGACAGACCTCTCTCTCTCATAAAAGAAGCATCAGGGCATCACATGAACATGATAGAAATAAACCTTGAAATTCACAGAAAATTGGCAATTTAATGCCACAGTTTCACTCTGAAAGACTATTTTTCCTTATGGCTTTTTTTTTTTAATATCAGAGACATCTGGTGTTTTCATAAGATAGCACCTCGTCTGTGTTTGGCTCTGCTTCAGGTAATGGTCAGGTCATATGAGTCCAGGTATGGACATGTATTATTTAGCACATGCTCAGACCTCCCCCATCCCCAAGTGCCACTGCAGCAGCACGGTGACTCACCCTGTAAGGCTGATGTATTTTGAGATTTTCCTATTAACCCATTGTCTCAAAGGGCTGCGCACACATGCTGTTAAGGCCCACTTACTGTAACTGTGCGTGTGAGCTTGCAAAGCTTCTAAAGTGTCATCCCAACTCAACACTTTCCCACCCTGCAGTCAGCGCATTTCAGCAGCTGAAATCCTCAGGATGTAAGGCTTTGGTTTTAATAGTGCAGTTTCCCCTACGGCATACAAACGTATGTAATACTGCAGAGGGATGAACGGGAACGCGTGTACGGGGTAATGAGTCCTTCAAACGCTGTCCTGATACTCTGTTTGAACCTAAGCCCCTCAAGTGATGCTTAGCGTTTTGGTGCATCGTGTGGGTTTTATTTTTAGCTTTCATTATGGATTATAGAATGCTGTATTTATAGAGGCAATGACAGTCGTGAAGATGACAGGTGTCAGCCTCTTCCCCTCCCCTCCTGCTCGGGGGGGAACATTGGTACAGCAGGTGACGTGGGACAGTGTTCAGCGGGACTCCTGAGTGACCTTGACAAGGGCACAGAAAGTAGGAGTGATCTGCATTTTAACATCGCATATCCTTCTAGTTGGGATATGTTTCTATACTATATGTAAATTACTTTCTTGACAGTGCTAATCATGACATGTTAATTTAGGTTCATAAGAAGTTGAGTTCAATTTTTGGCTCCGGTTAAAACAGAAACTTGTGAGTCAGATGCTCTCGCATATTAGAGACCTAGTTATTTAAAAACTCTTGATGAAGGTAGCTGGAGGCTTTGCTGTCAGCAGCTTGAGCGCAACCCAGCAGGGAGACGACTTGGATGCTTTATCCCACAGTCAGGAGTTGCTCATCAGCTCTACTTACTCGCTTGATCCGCCAACTATCCTTTACAATGGTTCCTGTCAGGCTCCCTTTTTTAATGAATAATATTTTCCTGAAGCTCCAAAGTGACCTTTGCCATGCAGAGGAGGATTGTGATGACGCAGATGCTGGCTGGGAGGCTGCTTAGCTGAGCTGCGATAGAGGACACAGAGATGAACCCTCTGTGGCTGCCTCAGCCGTGAGAAGAATAACCAGCAGCCAAACTGCATGGCTCTCTGTGAGGCTGCTGCCGCTGTGTGTTTAAACGCTGCCTCCTACTCGCTTATCAGCCTCACAGATGAACTCTTACTGAACATACAGTGGAGATGATTACGTTCTGTTAAATGCATTTTTCAGACGTTTATCTAAAGTAGATTTTTGTGATTGATTTTATTAATCAGACATTTACTATAGCATAAATATGAAGCGGTTTTAAAACGAGCAAATGCTGACATCGCTCAACCTAACTAATCCCTAAAAAGTCACATTGTCAGATAACGTGAAGTCCACTGAACTGAAGTCCTTTGCATGTAGCTGTCAGTTTACTTGCTGCTCTGAACACTCAATTGAAACCTTTTTTCGGCTTTTGGCTCTATTATGACATCAGTGAGGTGAATATGTAAAGATATTTTTCATCCATCCATATTAAGATATGGAGAGCTCAGGTACGCAGCTCTAGCTGTAAGCACAGAAGCCCAATCCACCAGGCGTACAAAGCTTGTGTTTGTGAGGGGAGGGGGATCTTAAACAACTGGTTTCAGACAGGATGAGCTGAGAGTCTCAACCAAGCTCCAGTATGAGCTATATAAATAAATACATTTTGAATGTGAGTCATGCAAAGCTACTCTGAAAGAGTCCAAGAATAAAAAATATGGAGCTGGAAATGAGCGTAATAGCTGCCCCTTAAGGGTTTGCAGATTTGGATGTTTGCCTTTTCTCAGAGCGGCAGAGCTCAGTGTGTTTGTTCCCTGTTGCCTGTGAAATTGTGGAGTCTGGGCTTGTGGAGGGGAGTGCAGGGGGAGGATCTCTCATCTGCTCCTATTGTGCTAGAGAGAGATGACCTTATAGGGAAGTGCTTTGTGAATAACCAAACCGCCCTATCACGCTCAATGCACAGGGACCCTGCCCATCAGCACCGGCACCCTCCACTGAGATTCCAGACACCATGGATAGTATGTGGCATTTAATGTGGTCTGGCAATCGTCCGATGTCACTGAGGGACTGTCTTTTGGCAGAGGCTTCTGACTTTTCAGCAAGGCTGAGAGAAATGGTTTCATCCTGCCAGCCGGAGTAGCGGACTTCAAAAAACTCAACCCTCTGATGTAGTCCAGGAGGGTCACAGGGGTTTCATTCAAACTAAGCAGTGCACTGGTTGAGCTTGGGTTGATAGGAGTATGCATGGAAGTGTCTGAATAAATCACGTGTAACAAAGCTGCCTTAAGGTGCCTTGTTTACCTTGTTTACCTAAACCGCACTCACGGCTGGGAATCTGTTCGTGCAGTTCAAAATGCTTCATTGAAGACTGATGAGCCCTTTAAGACGGAGCAAACATAAATCCTAATAAAGAGAAATAAAATAATAATAATAATTAAAAACAGATAACAAAGCTGTAAGAAGTTTTAAAAATAGCATTACTGTAGAATAAATGAGGGGGAAATAATATAAACCACACAAATAAATGAACTAGACAAAGCAGGTTAAAAAGAATAATGTAGAATAACATTTTTATTTGTAAAATAAATAGTAATTAAATGTATAATTTATTTAATTAATTAGTAAATAACATTTTAGTGTCTCAGTACTTCCACATGCTGAATTACTAACATAAAAATATGAGAAAAACACCTGGGAAATTAGCAGCAGCAGTCTTTGATGTAAGATGAAGCGATAGAAGCAGGCCTGTACATGTTATGCGCAGTATTTAAATTCGGGGAAGGCCGGGACCAGTGCACATTAAATACTGCAGAACTGGTTCAAGGTGGGATGAGATGTCAGACTTTAAGGAACCGCTTTGATGATGTCACCAATGAGCTTTTGTTTGCTCGTGTCACCTTTTATTGATTCAAGCTTTAAAGCCCATATACAAACTGTACTTCTTTTTTTTTTTTTGTATACGTCTTGGCCTCTTTCGATGGCAGTGAGTTAAATGTCCACATCTTTGCATGTTTGAAGTAGGCTGTGGTAAATACTCATGTAAATTATTATTATTATGGTTGGATCTATTAGATCAGTACCTGATATGGCATTGTTCTCAGCTCCAATTTAAATTTGCAATGCCAAACATATGGAATTCCTACCATCCTCTGCTTGGCTAATTTTGGCTGGAACTTTAGTGCTCCTGGTCCTGGGATAAGATTTGTTACTATGGCAAGAGAAACACTTGCATGCTATGAAGAGCTCCAGCCAGCTGCTGCTGCTTAAGATTCATACCAGACAAAGAGCAGCAGAGATCCCAGGGAGACAGTGTGGAGATGGTGCTTGCATAACCGGGGTCAAAACTTGACACGTGTTTTGCATCTGTGACAACACAGAAGCAGGAAGTTAGAAAAATGTCACTTCTTAGATTATATTCATATCTCTCTCACCAGGCAGCAGCTAACTAAACATCACTTACTCAGGTCTTGTTTGCTGATCAGGGAAAAAACCCAACTGAATCTCACCCATTACTCTGGAAATGTGCTAGTGCAATGGCCAAAGGGCAAAGGAGACATTGGTACAACAAACTGTCCTTGCAAAAAGTAAACTTGCACAAATGAGACTGAGTCGGTTAGGTTTCCCTGCTTTGGACTTCTTCCATTGATGGTCCCAAATAGAGTAGCAAACTTTTAAACTCAATGAAAGGTTAGCGGCTTATCTGTTATAAACCATTTGCTAATACCGGATCAGTTTGCATAAATATGTAAATGCAGACGGTGAGGTAGTTAGTCAGAGATGTGCTGGAAAGCTGCATTAAGCTTTGCCTGCTGACTCTTCTGAAACAGCCCACTCTACATGACAGGAGCTCAGGCTTTTGTTCAGCTGCCATCAGCACATGTAGCCTCCTGGCCGGCCCCAAGGAAGCCTGGCCAGCATAACCACTCGCTGTCCCTGAACGCACAGCAGGTGCAAGTGCCAGTCAAAGCTGGTACTTTCAGTTCAGTCATTGCTTTGCCTGTTCTGTTTGTAAGGCACCTCTGGGAGTCATATTGGTGGCGATGTATCACCAGGTCTTAGCTTTCGCCACCGTTAAATTTGCAAACCGTTTGAGCCATTGGCAAGCCCTGAGGTGAAGACGTGGTCATGCCTCTGGAAATGCTTGGACTGCTACCAAGTAGGATGTTGACACAAAGGGACAGATGATATATACTCGCTTCACCAGAGCAGGCCTGCAGTGTAACACAGCCTCAAGACAGGTCCAGTGTGTCACGGCGTCACAGAGCACTGGTTACTTTGCATGAGAACATCGGTAGGAACCTTTGTTAGCAGGCTGGCCCTCTAGCTCCTGGTGTCTTGGCTCAGCACTCCTTAAGAAGTTTGTATTTCTTTGAAAGTAATGACGTGACACAGGACGTGTTACACAGCCAGAAAGGATGCAAGTTTGAGTAAAAGTTAGGTATGGGCAATTCTTTAATTCAATTCTAATGAAATTATTTGACATCTATAATTGAAGTAAAGTGTTACAGCTGTGTAACCAGGACAGTGAATTCAGGGGGGCAGCCTTCAGCTGTATGTGAAGTGTTTTGCTCATTGATTTGTAGCTGACATTTGGTCGCTGGATGCTCCAGGCTCTGGTTGCATAGTTACCCGTGTAATGAATTCCTTGCCCTCGTATAGCTGTCCCTGTTGGTAGTCGCTTCAATTCTTTAGCTCAAAGTTTAACTTCATGTTGCTAATGGTTATTTCTCCTGCCATTGCTACAAGTCGGTGAATTTCACTGACATTTCACGGTCTCTGGTTTGCACATTGTTCTGTGAAAGCTCCCCTTTGGTTTCTAATGTGAAATGTCTTTCAGCCTGTGTCAGGCCATTTGATTCAGGTGCGTGACCTTCTCATAAGCAAATCTTCCATTGCACGTCTGTTTCCACATTGAGATAGTTTAAAGATGCAGCTGAGCTCAACATTTGTCTTCTCAGAAATCCTTTCATTGTCTGCCTTAATTGGCCAGTGCCTGCTGACAGATGAGTGTTTCTGGCACTCGGATGAGTTGATGATCATCCAACTTTACATAGGGTCATGCCTCCCAGTGAGAAATCAACCTTCACAGAGCAGGGGGCTGGAGTACACATAACTAGAGCAAGGGTCTGCATTGGATTAGACTGTATAGATGCACTCATAAAATATGTTTGCAGCTTCTATTCCAAACATCTATAAGAAACTCCAAGGTAATGCAGACGAGTTGCTCCTGTGTTCTGCATCTTGCCTGTCTCTTCCTGTGGCAATGATGAGAACATGTCTGCCATCGTAGGGCCACATTTAAACCAGATCAGCAGATTGGGAAACAGGTTGAAATTCTTTTTCCTTTTTTGGCTGCATGCGTCAGTGGTCCCATTGCTATTTTCCCCCCTCTCCTCCTTCAAGGCCAAGGCTGGTTTAGCCATACAATACCGGTCTCCCTCAGTCTGGATCTGGACACTGGTACATTTGATAAAAATCACTATTTGTTTTTGGGTGAGTTTCCACTTCAGCCTTGTTTAGATGTTTTGTTACATTCTTAGATATTTGGCAGCCTAGTGCCGTTTCCTGGATTCTAGCTATATTGTATTCAAGGAGTCTTTTGTAACAATGTGACACAATTTACATTTTTAACTAAGTAGGCCTGTATAAGTAGACTACACCCACAGAACTGTGCCATAGCCTGAGCCATTTCCCCAGTTTCCATTGCCTTTATGTAAGATTAGGAAGCTGAATTGGGTCACTGCAGTTCTGATGTACCCAAATTGGCCATTTCCTTTGAGACTAGCCTTTTATGGCTCACAAGTCCTTCATTTCCTTCTGTCTTTGGTTCTCCTTCTCTTTCCTACACCAATGGCAGCACTCCTTTGCTGCTGTGAGGCATAACAACCACGCTATAGTGAGCTGTGGTTCATAAATTTAGTTTACTCTAAAGCAGAGTTACTGCCTGTAGAAAATAAACACCTTCTCATCTGTTAAATCTTCATTTGGCCAGTACACCCACCCACAAATGGTACTGTACAAGGAATGCATGGGTGGGGAGTTAAGAGTGCCCTTTCTCCTTTGTTGTTAGCTTTTGTTTTTTGATTGGATGTGTGATTGAAATCTTTCTCTCACATGCTAAATCGTTTAGCTTTGAATGTATCCTGGAACTCGTTTGGAGGTAGGCTTTAGCGAAGTGACTGATTCACTGCCTAAGAATTTATGTCTGCCTTTGTCACGCCCTGAAGAAGACACAAGCCCCTGCACATCGATGCTCTTATAACAGGGAAACAGCATATTAACTGGCAGCGATCAAAACATGTGCTGTTAGAGTAGGTTGAGCTGCAGTTACTCCAGACATGCTCACTAAAGTATGGGACAAGTTTGAGTATTGCATAGATGTTTGCAGTGTTTTGTAGGTGAAAGTTCATATTTAGCCATATATGTTAAAAATTTACCACAAGCTTCTATGTCCGTTACTTAAGATGTAGCCTTTTGAAATCGGATGATTCTTTTTAATAAACCTTTTACTGCTGAGCCATGCTGATGATAGATGTGCAATACTAGGTTTTACATTATCTTCCTGAAATAGGCAAGAACTTCACTGAAAAAGACCTTTTCTTAATTGCAGCTTCAGTGGTGTCTTCACTGATGCACAAGTCATCCAGGCTTTGCGCACTAATTCACCCATCCCTGTCACAGATGTTGACTTTAACTTGTATGCTCCACTCTTCTTGCATTTAATGTCCATAGTTTGTGGAACTCATTTAATATTTGGTTTAATCAGATCAGAGGAAAGTTTTGAACTTTGCTCCAGTCCATCTTAAATTAGCTCAGGCCCAGACAAGGTGGCAGCATTTCTGAATCTGGTTTACATTACATGTAATGAGTTTTAACTGGGATTTGTGGATGCAGCAACAAACTGGGTTCACTAACAGTTTCTTCCTGAGGCCATGAAGTTATTGCCTCTAGAGAGAAGTGTCTGTTTCCAATGTAGCTCCTCATAATTGCCCAAAGATAACTACTGCTGTCAGTTTTGTTCCTTTTATCCATAGATTGCAATGTATTTTCTCTAAATCTTTTAATATAATTAATCAACTTTAGATGATTTGTAACAATTTTCAGTAGCATTATCTTTGGTTTGATATTTGTATTTGTTCTCCTCATATTTATTTGTATGGGTTTTTCCTCTCTCTCTAATTATGGATCTGCTTTTTGTAGTTGGAGACAAGGTGCCCGCTGACATCCGCATCTGTTCAATCAAATCCACGACCCTCAGGGTAGACCAGTCCATCCTGACTGGTAAGATATTTTTGCTGATGGCAGACATCAAAGTTGACATTTTTTAATTATTTGAATGCTAATCCTTGTTAAGTAATGGACAGACTAAAGCTTACCTAATGACAAATGTTATTTTATTCTCTTAGAATAACTGCCCTATGAGATTGTTAATTCATTTTTTTTAAGCTAAAACACAAGTATCACCACAAAGCCTTTAAAGTAAGTTAAACCGAGGTCAGTCAGTTTGTCTGAATAAATGGTCAAAAAAAAAAATTCAACTTGGTCGCTTTGAGTAACTGATGAACAGAATGAGCCCAGAGGTCTGCTGTGACGCTCTTCCCACTTAACACCTTTTTCCTCTGAGACATTCATGTGAATCATCACTGAAAGATGAATAACCAGCACTGCAGATTTGCCTGTGGAGACGACTGGCTGAGTGTTCTTCCTTAAATCATCTACAGAAGAATGCAAGCCGGTTTAACCCTCCTCTGTCCTCGTAGGTGAATCTGTCTCTGTCATCAAACACACCGACCCCGTGCCTGACCCTCGCGCCGTCAATCAAGACAAGAAGAACATGCTCTTCTCTGTAAGCCCGAGTCTGCATGAGTTATCACACACATCCTGCTGATTCCTATTACTTCTTATGTGTTTAGCTTCCGTACACTTCCTGGAAAAACAAGTTTCTGTTATTTGAGGATGTGCGCGATGATATCAGTTGCACTTGAGCCAACACGTATGTGACATGTTCTTTCAGGGTACCAACATTGCTGCAGGGAAGGCTGTGGGTGTGGTTGTTGCCTCTGGCGTTAACACAGAAATTGGTAAGATCCGTGACGAGATGGCAGCCACGGAGCAGGAGAAGACGCCCTTGCAGCAGAAGTTGGATGAATTCGGCGAACAGCTATCCAAGGTCATTTCCATTATCTGCATCGCCGTGTGGATCATCAACATCGGACACTTCAATGACCCCGTCCACGGAGGCTCCTGGATCCGTGGAGCTGTCTACTATTTCAAGATCGCTGTGGCGCTGGCTGTGGCTGCCATCCCTGAAGGTCTTCCCGCTGTCATCACCACCTGCCTGGCCCTGGGCACTCGCCGCATGGCCAAAAAGAACGCCATCGTCCGCAGCCTGCCCTCTGTGGAGACTCTGGGCTGCACCTCTGTCATCTGCTCTGACAAAACAGGAACCTTGACAACCAACCAGATGTCTGTTTGCAGAGTGAGTTTATCTCTCTCCCTCACACACACACAGAAACGGTGTTTTTGCATTACTGAGCAGGTTGGTCGTCAGTCCTTTGTCGTATTTGTTGTCCCTACTTTATGTTTGGATAAGGTGACAGCAGTTTCTTCCATTTATCTATAAAATGCTAATGCTCTCTGTAAGCAGAGAAATGGTAGTTTCTGGTTATTGAGCGAGAAGGCAGCTCGCTTTCACTGCTCTAATCTGCATCGAGCAGTTAGATGACTTACACTACTGCTGTTGCATAACTGACCTTGCGTCACCAAGCTGCAAAGCAGTGAGCTTGTAGTTTCTTTTTCTTCTCTTCCTCTCTCTCTCTCTCTGTGTGAGTGGCACCTCTGTGCTACTTGGCCCCACATAAAAAGGACATTTCAGCATTTATTAAAGTTTAATCCCCTTTAGTTGTCTGTTCACTGCTGTCTCAGAACTTTGGCACAGCCTGAATAAGGGTGGCATTCATTTACAGTTACTGTCAGTTGTTTCAGTCCCTGCACATTGAGTTGGCCGTGATTAAATAGTCTTGTGATTCTGCAGTTACTGTAGTGACTTATCGTAATTCACACAGAGTCGGGACATGCAAACAAAAGCCTTTAAAGAGGTGTGCTCACTGACTTTACACTCATGGTTACTAATAAAAAGCAACGTCTCATTCACTTGAATCGTTTATTACAGATATACATTTGCACCCAACATTGTACAATAAATAATAACAACATAGCAAAAACACCATCTACATTCATGCAGCCTAAATGTAGTTTGTGATTGTACGTCCTTTTTATTAAATCCTTTTCTGACAGGCCACGATCATTCCTGAAAGTGTTCAACTGGTTACTGAAATAATTAATGGATTGCCTGTTTGCTCTAAATATACTGCAGCAGGGCAGTGCCAGGATTTTATGTCTGGCTAGTCGTTGCAGGAGGGCTTGCTGATTGTCTTCATCCATTTTCTGATATAAGCAGCCTCTGTCTAGCCCTGTTTGTGTGTATACTGTGTGGCTTTGTACATCTTTGTTTGTGAGTGAGCGAAATGATCAAAGCTTCCTGCGGGAGTAGGCCTGGCACTGCGGCGTCTTCCTTTTGGGCACAGCTTCTCTCTTTAGTCAGGCTCCCTGGCAGCTTCTTCTGTTTACTTATGGAGAGAAACTAAACAGCCTTTTCTCACATTAGGCAGCAGGCCACCCAGCCTGCCCCTCACAGAGACACACTCTAACGTTGCAGCCAATTTACTGTCATTTTTTTCTGCTGCAACAGTTATTGTGTACTTTTAATATGAGCTGTAATAAAGAAACAAATCAAGTTTTTCCGACCACATCCCCCCATTGCTTTCAGTCTGTGGATGAGTGTTCATGTTCTCCGCTGTGATTTTTCAGGTTCTGAGTGCTTTCATTGTTTTGTTTTGTTTTTTTAAAGTTGTCTCCCCCAGTTGTTTCTGGTTTAGCCTTTTAGTTTTTCATAGGCTAACTTTGAAGAATATGAAGAAGTTTGCTTCCTCATTCAAAAGGTCACAAAAACGAATGTTTTTCTGTTGGTGTAAATTATATTTTTATATAATATACTAATTTGATTATTGCTTTTTTAACCTCTGAATATTTCTTGTATATGTAAAAATATCTTTCATCTTGTGTGACACAAAGGGAATCGTCCGCATTAAGAATCTCACTTTAGCTACAGCGTCTCCTTAACTCAAGAGGTCTTCAGCTTTGGTCCCCTCTCAGCACAAATAAATCAAAATAATCATGCCTCACGTCTTGATCTGCATTTGTAGATCAGATGTGGAGGAATGCATTGAAAAAGAAATCTCTGCAATGCATTTATTTTCATCACCTCAGTTTTTGTGCCAGTCCAGATAGAAGGCAGTGGTTGGGCTTCAATCTCCCTGAATCTTGAATCTGGGTGTAATTTGTTTTAATTATCTTAAATTATTTTACTATCACAGCTCCTAGATATTTGACTGTTATTACCTTCCAATTCATCTTTTTTTTTCTCTCATTTTTTGCTCAGAAGATTCATTTAATGAAAGGATTTTGAGTCTCTGTTAGATTTCATTCACAACCTGAATACTTGCCAAAGTCTTCTAGGATAACAGACAAACAATAGCATCATCTGCAAAGAGCCTAATAATATAATCTTATTTTTTTCCTTTAATGTATTCGAGTTCACTTGGAGGTTTTGTGGTTTGACAATAAAGACTCTGGTATTTCAGTCAAACACTAACATGATCTGTGTGATGTCTTCTAATGTCCCATGGACTCTTCTCATTTCCAGATGTTCATTGTCAACAAAGCTGAAGGGGACAGCTGCTCTCTGTCAGAGTTCACCATCACAGGTTCTACCTACGCCCCCGAGGGTGAAGTGTGAGTACTTTTATAGCTTCTCCATAACTGGCAGATCCTTAAATACATGGAAACATGATGTTCTGTACTTGTCCTCAGGTACCAGGATGGTAAACCAGTGAAATCCTCCCACTATGATGCTTTGGTTGAATTGGCCACAATCTGTGCCCTGTGCAATGACTCCTCGCTGGACTTCAACGAGGTCTGCACCTTTCCTGCTGCTTATTTTATGTGTTTTAGTGCAGTTTTCAGTTCTGGGGGAAAACGATTACATATGACTGCCTGTTTTGCTGCTACCCTTCTGTACATTTGGATTTAAGTGAAATAATCTTTTTATGTTCGCTTATAGACTGTATATGAAAGATAGATGTAGCTTCCAGGGTTGAAAAATTCATCAAATTTTAATCTCAGCTGTGATTTTTGGCATCCCACAACTAAATGAGCACAACCGAGTGATACTGGTCATGTGTGCTACACCAACAGAACGCAAACCAAAGTCTAGTGCTACACAAATCATTGCTTGATGACACCCGCATGAGCCAATCACAACTTTTCCGTTGATATTAGTAATATACTACAAATAACAGACATTCAGAACAGTCATGATCATTTGCAATACTTCAGATTATGGGCAAATGATGTTTGGAAGAAATGCAAAAACACACTGCAAACTCCAGCATGATGAATTAATGAGGCAAACTAAAACAAAGCAATGGTTGCTAGCATGGATCGTCCAACTTCAGCTCATAAACGGGTCTGTACAGTGTATCCCTCGAGCTCACAAAGGCACTGAAATCACCAAAGCAGTCGCACTCCATTTGGCAAAGATGTGTGTAAGCTAAACACAGTGAGTAATTAAGGCTTGAGATCCATCATGCAGGTATCGTGAATGACGGAAAACACTATATTTTGCCAGGTGAATAAACACTTTATTCGTCTACAAAGATTAATGAGCAGGAATGTAGCACAATGTCACAGCTTCCCTTCACTCATCATCGAAACAACTACTGGTAGCCTTAACAATGGCTAAATCCTTTGATGCACAGTCTTTGGGCAAATTTAAGATGTTTTAGAAAAGAAATGAGTGAAAGTTTGGATGTTTCAGGTGAAGGGGGTGTACGAGAAGGTCGGCGAGGCCACGGAGACCGCGCTGACCTGTCTGGTGGAGAAGATGAATGTCTTCGACACTGAAGTTCACAACCTGTCAAAGATTGACAGAGCCAATGCTTGCAACTCAGTGAGTGACATCAGCTCCCTCACTTGCATGCGCTGCACATTCCCACCGTTCGTGCTCAGCAGCTTTTTCTCACTCTCTGTCTCTTTGTCTGATCAGGTGATCAAACAGCTGATGAAGAAGGAGTTCACCCTGGAGTTCTCAAGAGACCGGAAGTCCATGTCTGTCTACTGCAGCCCAAACAAGTCCCGCTCTACCATGGGCAAAATGTTTGTGAAGGTATACCCAGTGTAATACGTGCAGATGTTCGATCTGCATTCGCTGCAGTCTTCTGCTGTGTTGTTAATGTTTTATGCCTCTCTTCTTCCTCACAGGGAGCCCCAGAGGGAGTCATCGAGAGATGCACTCATGTCAGAGTTGGCAACAGCAAAGTTCCCCTCAGCCAAGGCATCAAAGAAAAGATCATGTCTGTTATCCGTGAGTACGGGACAGGTCGCGACACCCTGAGGTGCTTGGCTCTGGCCACACGAGACAGCCCACCAAAAATGGAGGACATGATACTGTCTGACACTGCCAAATTCATCGAGTATGAGGTGGATATACATTTGCGTAATCTACTTGTAGCACATTCTTTTCAGGAGCAGACTTTCATTTGAATCTTTGTCTCTGTGTCCAGTCTGACCTGACGTTTGTCGGCTGTGTCGGCATGCTGGACCCTCCCAGACAGGAGGTAGCTGCTTCTATCAAACTGTGCCGGCAGGCTGGCATCCGCGTCATCATGATCACCGGGGACAACAAGGGCACAGCTGTGGCTATCTGCCGCCGCATCGGCATCCTGACCGAGGAGGACAATACTGAGCACATGGCTTTCACTGGACGGGAGTTTGATGAGCTCACACTCGATGCCCAGAGGGAGGCTGTGACTTGTGCGCGTTGCTTTGCGCGCGTCGAGCCTTCACATAAATCCAAGATCGTTGAGTTCCTGCAAGGATTCGATGAAATCACTGCTATGGTATGAAGTTTGTCGTACTGATCAAAACTGCCCATTTCTGCGTGAATGGTTCATTCTCTTGGCTTTGTAAGGGTTGTGTTGATTGGGTTGATTTGCTGTTGTTACTGAAGAAAAAGGCAACACTTGCTATAAAGAACATGTTTGTGTACAGACCGGTGACGGGGTGAACGATGCCCCTGCGCTGAAGAAGGCAGAGATCGGCATCGCTATGGGCTCTGGCACTGCCGTGGCCAAGTCAGCCTCTGAGATGGTCCTCGCTGATGACAACTTCTCTTCCATAGTGGCCGCCGTTGAAGAAGGCAGAGCTATTTACAATAACATGAAGCAGTTCATCAGATACCTTATCTCTTCCAACGTGGGTGAGGTCGTCTGGTGAGTCTTCTTCAGAGGAGATTAGAGCTCTTTATTGCTCAGTCTTCTGTTTTTTATGAAGCTGAGAAAAAAAGCCGTCGTTTTACAGCTTTACGTTCACACAGCAATGCTGTTGATAATATTAAGGTCATATTTGCTCCAGTTTATCATTAGCACTTTCTGACTGGAATAGTTTCTCCTGACAGCATCTTTCTCACTGCGGCTCTGGGGTTCCCTGAGGCCCTGATTCCTGTCCAGCTGCTCTGGGTCAACCTGGTGACAGACGGCCTCCCTGCCACCGCCCTTGGCTTCAACCCCCCAGATCTGGACATTATGGAGAAGCCTCCTCGCAATGCTAAGGAGCCCCTGATTTCTGGCTGGCTATTCTTCAGATATCTGGCTATTGGAGGTTGACTAAAATTGAGCAGGATTCGAGCTGTCTTGTTTTTTTTTTTTCCTGCAGTACATCCAGTGAGTAATATGATGATTTTGCTGTCTTTGCTTCCAGGCTACGTAGGTGCTGCCACTGTGGGAGCTGCTGCGTGGTGGTTTACAATCTCTGATGATGGACCGCAGGTCACTCTGTACCAGCTGGTAAGTACGTCTGTCTGAGAGAACATCCTTCAGCTTCCCTCCGCTCTTTGCCTCCCCCTCACTCTCCCCTCTTCCTCCACACAGAGCCACTTCCTCCAGTGTGGCCCAGACAACCCAGAGTTTGATGGCTTGGACTGCCACGTGTTTGAGTCACCCTACCCGATGACCATGGCCCTGTCCGTGCTTGTCACCATTGAGATGTGCAATGCTCTGAACAGGTAAGGGTATTTTTAAAGAGTGGAGGAGTTCTCATGAAAGAACCATTTGCAATGACACGATGATAGACAGATTGTATAACCAGATCCACCATCTGTGCGCTCCCTCCTGTCCAGCCTGTCAGAGAACCAGTCCCTGCTGCGGATGCCTCCCTGGGAGAACATTTGGCTGCTAGGGGCCATCTGTCTCTCCATGTCTCTCCACTTCCTCATCCTCTATGTGGAACCTCTGCCTGTAAGTTTAAAAAATAAGATGATGACATTGGCACAAGTCAAAGTGATCTGTCTGCTGCAGTTTTGGTCTTTATGTGGATTTTGATGCCCTCTAGTGGCCATTTATTATTGTTTGTTGGGGGGAAAATGACCTTGAAAGGTGGAGCATGAGGGGGGGAAACAGATCCAAATAACTTTATTTGACCTCCTAGGACCTGGTGTCCACATATGGACATCACATTTTGGGTTGTCTAGACCACAACACTAACTTTTGCTCTACGAGGGCCTGATGTCCTCTTCTCTGAAACTACATTGGCTAAAAAGATAATTCTTTATTTTTACATTCATCAGGTCCCGATCAGCCCAAATAGCAAAGAGAAATTAAAAATGCATGCCATGAAAGAGTTTGGGTCTTAGGAGGTTAAAGTGGAAATTCACTCCCAGTTCAGGCTAACGTTACCGGCTGCATAGCTTTGAACATTAAAAATGTGGGATGGAGCAGGCGTGGATATGTGAGGCCAGTTTCTCTGTAACATCTAAAGTGAAAAATGATGAGCAACACAGAATCACAAGGCACCGCTGCCACAGGGGGATCTTTGGACATGGAGGGCTTTCCCTCCATAATCCTCTGAAGTGGACATCAGTGTGGTGAAGTACCATTTGTATCCAGGCCAAACTGATTAGAGCCTTTGGCTTCAGCTTCAGAATGGCCAAAGATGAAGCTCTCAGAGCTGAGGCAATGCAAGTGCAAGAGAGGGATATGACTGCTGGTTTGGAGGGAGAGAGAGCAGTCTGCTGGTACTTTACAGACTTTAAAAGCAACGTGTTAAACAATGTGCCAACATTTAAAAATAAATAATTAGTAAATAGCAGTGTAAACTCCTGCAGAGGATGAATATCCATTAGTATACTTTCCATAGTTAGAGCCACTTACAAGCGAGGGATGGGGTGTGGATGGCCCACCTGTGATTACTGGGTGTTGTCAGGATGGGCTTTGGAAGTTTAAGGATTATTTAAAACAGCAGATGCCAGATAGAGCCATTTTCATCTGAAATGTAAATTTGTGTTTTTTGGAAAGAAATATCAATACTACACCAGTACTGATGAATTTGATGACAGTACAGTACTCTCTGACTGCCCTACATTTTCAGATGCTTCATAGAAATTATTGGGACCACCAACATAAAAAAACATAACTCTGTATATGTTAGACATTTTATCTGGTAGGGAATAAACACCCAGGTGATCTCTTCACCGCTGTTTCCCATCTTTGAGGCTGACCATCTCCTGTGTCCAGCTACACATTGAGTGTACTGACATAAGAGCCGTGTTGATCGATCGACTCTGAGCTCATCACAAAGCAGTGTGTTTTTATAAAAGCTGAATAAACGTCACCACACACTTCTTACGGTCATGTAGAAAACATTGGTAGAGTTTTATGTGTTACCCATGCGGTGATAATCCTCATAAATCTTTATCTCGCTCTCTTTAAAAAGCAGCTGTAAGTTATTTGCTTATTCCCTCCCAGGTCATCTTCCAGATCACCCCTCTGGATATGACCCAGTGGTTGATGGTGCTGAAGATCTCGATGCCCGTCATTCTCCTGGACGAGCTGCTTAAGTTTATGGCCAGGAACTACTTGGAATTCGGTAAACAACTGGAGAAGCCGACAAGCAAAGGCTGCTCTCTGTCTGCATGCGCCGAGGGAATCTCCTGGCCCTTTGTGGCCATCTCCCTGCCCCTGGTGCTGTGGATCTACAGCACCGACACTAACGTGTCTGCCATCTTGTGGCCCTGACTGACTCCAGTACACTACCCTCCTTGTGCACCAGTGTGAAGTGGACATTAACGCACACATCTAACACAGTTACATTAACTCGGAACAAATTACAGCAACAGCATTTACACCTTCTCCAACCGCTGTCAGAACGCCTCTGTTAAGTACATTTAGACTTGCACATATTTTTGGGTGGCCGGTGCTCGAGTAATATTTTACCGACATGATTTATGTTCCATGTTACCATTGTGCTTTTCTCTGTTTTGACCCCCTTTGAGAATAGCTAGAGAAGCCCACTGCGTTGGAGCGACATGTTGAGCTGTACAGAGAGAATTTATTTACTATTCTGTAATAATTAATATTTTATAATTTGGGGAATGGAGATTTCTGAGGACTGCGTAGTTTAGTTCAATACTAATTTAGGGGCAAAGACTTTCAGCAGAATACATTTGCCCAAGCATGAATCACATTTTGCATCGTACTCATTCATTATTTTCTGCAGTAGGCAGAGCACAGCTACCTCAGTGCTGCTGATTTGACCATAATGACCCATTTGTCCAAGCTGTCATTTCATATGTGATCATTTGAAGTGTTGAGGTAAGCACCAGTAGAGTCAAAATCTTCACATGTATTTTAATGTGCATATATATATATATGGAGAGAGAGATATATCGATATATCGATCTATATATAGATATATCTATCTATATCTAGATATAGATCTATATCTATATCTCGATATAGATAGATATTTTTTTGTGTTCCTCTGTTATTTGAGGGAAGAGGGGACAAAGACATGTTACCAGCTTGATTTTGAGTAAATTCTTGGTACAGCCTGTTGTTAAATTTATTTACTTGAAGAAAACACATTTGTCTGTGTTGTCTGTGTTGTGTGTGTGTGTGTGGGGGGGGTGTTGTTTTTGGGTTGTTGTTGTTTTTTTGTTTTGTTTTTTTAAAGTTAAATCTTTGAGATTCATTCTAAGGTTTCAGTCCTAATTTTGTGTGTTAACGACAGTAATCTTTATGTATGTAAAATGTGCACATACTGTACTTGAATATGTAAAAAGGCACCAAGAAGCTGTTAGTCTTGCAAACTGAGCACAACGTGGACGGTTTGATAGGCGCTCAGACCTCTGATTGGCTGCTGTCGGAGGCGTGTGTATATCTGTACATAGAACACGAAGTAGACTCTATACATTTCATTTCTTCCTGCATACATTCACACCCGTTTACTCAAGCGTAGCCTTTCTGCATGCGTGCTCTGATAGACCAGAGAGTGTTTTTTGTTTTTTAATTTGAAAAGCTAACTGTTGTTTCTTCCCACGCCTTCCCCCTATTTACCTGCAGAGTGAGTACACTTTGACGTGCATGCTAACTACTGCCGCGCTCTCGTCTGTATGGTGGTTGCACACACAGCTTGTCAGTCTGTCATTGCTCGTGTCGAAATGACAGCAATAACTGCTCCTTGTGTTTTATCATGTAAATACTTTAAATGGTACAAAAACAGGAGCTTATAATGTCACTAAGTGCCAGATGCACACTGAGCAGAAATGGGAACCTTGTGCATTTTTAAACGGGCTCAGTGTTACTGCTGGTGCCGCTTATTTTTGAATGTAGGCTTGCAGCATGTTTGGGCAACTGGCAGAGATGCTGGCATTTAAACGCCCCCACACCGTTACAGGACACGGTGTTGTATGTATTTCTTTTTTGAACTGCATTTGTATGAATCTTCTGCCCTCCTTTATTGCATGGCCTTTATTACTCTGAAATTCATTGAAATGATCTGCTGCTCAGATGCTTTTTACCTTGTTTTGTGATTTCTCGTGTCCATTGATCTGTTTCTTCCTGTCTCCTCTTCTTTTCTTTTTTCCCTTTACAGCAAAGTCCAAGTAAGCCCATCTCTCCTGTAAATTCCTAGCAGAAACTTTGGTTTGGTTTTGTGTTGTGCATGTGTGTTTTTCAGCACATCTTACAAGAGCTGAATGCCAGTGAAGTGATGACAGGGGCTCAGAAAGTTCACACATCATTTTTACAGAATGCCCATAAATGAATGTCTGATAGAAACTAGCCAGTTCCGCCTCATCGGTCCTTCCATCCTCCTGCATGAAGAGCCTTAGATTGCCATACAGTCCTCATGCCTTCATTTTAGACTAAGAGCTTAGTACCTTGTACAGTCAGTTGTACATTATTCTATGGTGCATGTCTGCTCAGTCAGCCATCTGTTTTACCAGACAAATGTAATAGATTATGTATAAGTTCAAAAACACAGTTCATCTTTCCTAAGGAAATACTTTTATGAGATAATAGATTTTGCTTTTTGCTTTACACTGAGATGAGCAGATTTTTTTTTGCCAAATCTGGGAAGGCAGGTGTGCAGCGATGCTGATGTTTTACCCTTTTAACGGCAGGCGGTCCCTGCACTGGCATTTTTTTGCCAAACTGCTGTACTGTATTTTCAGAAATGATTGTACAACGTATCACATGGACTTTGGTTTCAGGTAAATAAAATTAAAACTGTCATACACTAAGAGTTTGTCGCTGAGTTTTTACTGCTGTCCAGGACGACTGTAACAGACCACAACAGTATGACTTCATTCTGGAGCATCAGTTTCATTTATCTCTGTTGGCTACCAGTTGTTAGCTCATCATTACTTTCAGAAAAGATGTGCTCAATACTATAAAATGCCTTTTTTTAGGAATGATCTCAACGCAGCTGTGATCCTGATGCTGGCTGGAAATATGAAGCAGCTGGAACTGAACAAAGGGAAGGGATGTGAATCAACATTTGAATTAATGTGTTTCAGCATCTCATCCCACTCCGTATCTGACCCAAGCCTGTTAAAATAAATTTTACTCTAAAACTAACCTAAATGTGAGGAAAAACTATTTTATGAAATAAAGGAAATGATTTTCAAAATAAAGATTAAGCTAATAAAAAAGAAAATGTGCAGTTTTGGAGGAATGTGTGAGCACCCTTGTGCAAATATTTAGTGAGACTCCAGAGTCCACCTTAAATCCAGCCCCCCTGACACACTCCATTTGAAACCCCTCCTGCACAGCTAGAGCAGAGCGGAAGAAGCCTTAGGATTTTCAAAATAAAGCATCACCTATTCAATCACCTCAACTTTAATGTGTTTGGTAACTTATTTGCTTACTGTTCATTGTGGGTCCATGAATGTACCCTGTTGAGCTGTTTTTGCTTCTTCGCCCTCTGACTGAGCAGAGATATGGAAGAGAGAATGAACACACTGATCACCTGGTGATGATAATTTATAAGCAAGTGGGATGACTTTAGAAACAGCTCTGTGCACATCAGGTGTTTCATTATTTTATTATACATTTTAAAAATATGTACAAAATACTATAAAGTTTTGTTTTGAAATGATAAACTAAAATATTCCAAGTTATGTTATTTTGATAAAGAAGGCAGACCTAATGGACGACACAAACACACACACACACACACAAATAAGCTGAACTATTACATGACACAAAAACAGGTTTTAGAAAATTCATACAACAGATTTTAAAGAGCAGCAGAAATTCAATGTCACTTCTGGTATATTTGTGACCTTTATTGTGACACTTCAACACCCACCCACTGCCTCCTTTGTGGTAAACGTGTCCCAAAATAAAAATATTACACAAGTCATAGTAACTCCAGTCATTTTTTTTTTTTAAACTTCAAACCACAGTTTACTGAATCACAGTCTAATTTTAAACAAACTTCAGCTGCTCATTTACTTGCATCCTCCATTCCTGGGAACAACCTCTCAATGCAGGATACATGACTCACTATAAATAAATAAATAAAGTCTTTTTTATTTTTAATGTCTTTGTGGTGTATTGTGAACTGGCTGACAGGCAAGAAGGGTGCACAAATAGACAAGGTAATATAAGAACTTTGGGTGATTCCTGGATTTATAATGCTATGCATCAGACCTCAGAGTGACACTGCTGAGATTGTCAGACTGATGGGAAACAGCATTGGGGTCAAAAAAGAAAAAAGAAAAAAAAATGACTGGAGTTCTGCATCAAGCTGCATTTTAATAAAAGTTCTGACGGCTTCCTGTAGCTGTACTGCAAAGTTGAGCATCAGTTCATCCAGGGGCGCAAGCATTAATTGTTGTATTTAAGGTCTTAGCCGTGTTGTCGTCTTTAGGTTGGCAATAACCTCGGAGATCACGGAGGTTAAACATGCAGTACAACCTTCGTCTTGTTCCGTCTGACAGCCCTCATGGCTGAAGGCTTCCCGTGGGCTGCCGTGTGATACTGACAGAGCGTCTGTCAGTGGACCGGAGTCACTGCATACCAAACCACTGTTCCTGATCGGCCCACTGAGCCGCCTCACTGTCACTCCCCTCAAGATCACCGTCTTCCCCGCTGCCTTCCATGTCGTCACCATCCAGCTCCACTGTGGCGTCTGTGGGGCTCTCCTCCTTCTCCATCTTCTGCATGCCTTCTAATGATTTCTGGTCATTGGGATCCAGGCTTAGGACAGAAAACCATACAGTGTTAAATTCATAAAAAAATACTAGATTTTATGACAGCATTTTCCCAGGATCAATAATCTGTGTTTACCTTAATGCTATACTGTACTGGTCCATGGCTTCTTGGTAATCATTGACAGCCACCAGGAAATCTCCCAGCATCCTGTGCAGGACACAGTCACTTTGATTGGCCAAGGCGTTCCGCAGGAGAGCAATCCCTTCTTCATATTTCTGTTCCCGGCCTTCAAACAAGAAAAAAAAAGCAAAAGCAACAATTTCAGCTCATCTGTATGTGAAACTTCTTTTTCCTCCCTTCAAGTCATTAAACTGTAGATTTATTTATCATTGGGGAAAGGAGGAAAACAGAAATACTTAAGAGTCTTTTTTGCTGTACGTACTGAGGAGTTCAGCCTTCTTGACCACAGCCTTGGTGTAGTCAGGTCTCTGGGCCAGTGCCTTGTCTAAAAGGGTTTTGGCTTTCTCCTGAGTCACTGGGTCTTCCAGACACACTGTGGCGAGGATGGTCAGAGTCTGTGCATTGGCTCCTAAAGTCTTATAGATGTTGTTAGCCATTCCCATAGCCTCACGAATCCCATTGGATGCCAGATAACAGTCAATTAAACCTGGAGTCATTAATACTTTGTTATTGCAAACGAAACAAAAACAATCTGAAGAGCCAAAAAAAGAAAGAAAAAAAAGCTAAAAGTAAGCCTACCTTCATAGCAGTCAAGGCGGCAGGGTGCCAAACGCATGGCCTCTCTGAAATGGATGATGGCTTCCTGAACTCGGCCCATGTTTCTCAGTGCCGCACCCTTCAGCAGCAGTGCCTGAACACTATTGCTGTTCAGCTGGATGGCCTTGGCTCCCAGGTAGAGAGCCCGGGAGTAACGCTTGCTATAAAAACTGTGACATCTGAACACCGCACATTGAAAAGTTTAATGATATAAAACACGGAAACTACATGAGAGAGATTTTGTCTGAGAAAAGTAAGACTACTCACCCAGAGATCACCCACGGTTCAGCGTGCTGATCAGATATATTAAATAATCGACCTCCCAAGACTTCAACATCCTCCAGGTGTCCCTCACGGGCCATCAGGTAGCCATAAACATCCATACCTGAAAAAGCAAACATGTTTCCAAGTCTGTCTTTATTAAGGCTACTTAGACTTGTGTGACACACAGATTCTGATATTA